CATGTAGTGACCACTTAGAAACGACACAAGTTAGCGGCTAGCGTTAGCTTTGCCTGCTAACTCTAGAAGCACACTGGTTGTATAGTTATATCGATAGAAACGTTACTGAGTCATCTTGCTTATGCTGTTGTGTAGAATCCTACGATAACTTTAGCTACGTGCCGTTCTTCTATACTTACACTGAACTGAAATAAACTTTAAATGGTAATGACAGAGTAGCTTAACTTTGAGCAGCCATTACAGTGAAATCATTTATTATTGACAACTTAGCAAAACCACTTTTAGGCTGCAGGAGTGGGGGGTGTCTTGCGGAAGTGTGGGGTATTTTAAGGGCTAGCTAGTTTCTGTACAATCAAAGCACGGGTTGGATCCATAATCCTAAACTTGCTCTTTGTGAGGGTGGCTCAGCCTGGTCTTGGAGATAAGGTCAAGAGCCCAGAGGAGAACTGTTGGTCCTCCTCATCTCCTCATCTGAGGTGGTTCAGACATAAGGTTGAGATGCTTCCTGGTCAGTTTTGTGGAGGATTTTGGGCACTGGGAAGAGACCTTTGGACAGACCTAAACCTCCATATAGGACAGGGTAATCCTACCCTGGTCCTGGAGGGCCATTGCCCCACATGTTTCATCTGGTCCCTTGTTCCAACAACCCTTATTCAATGGTGGAATCGCCTCTTCAGCAGGTCCTTAAGTTCATCAGAAGTCTGTCAGTCACCCACTGATTCAAACCAGGTGTTGGATCAACATATTGCTACTATTGGTTGTTCCTCATAGATGTAAAGCCAGAGCAGATGTGTAAAGTTGTGTTTGCATTTAAGTCGTCAGACTTAACCTCAGATTTCTGTTTTCCTCCCAAATCGTGTCTCCGTTACTTCAGATCAGAGTCAGCGGGCTGAGCGCGGTGCAACAGCCAACCAACACACACACACACACACACACACACACACACACACACACACACACACACACACACACACACACACACACACACACACACACACACACACACACACACACACACACACACACACACACACACACACACAGACATACACATACACACATTTTTACATCAAGACTGGATTACTGTAATTCATTACTCAGGAAGTCCACAGAATGTAGTTAAAAGTCTTCAGCTTGTCCAAAATGCTGCAGCTAGAGTTCTGATGAGAATTAAAAAGAGAGATCATATCTCTCCTGTCTTAGCTTCCCTACATTGTGTGACGATTGGCAGGTGAACTGAGAGACCAGGAAGTTCGGCTGTAGCATGTTTGAATGACCCAGATGCGGAAGAGCGAGCGTCGGGAGTAAACAGGCACGCGGTTGGATCTAGGAGTGACCGCGGGACCCGACCAGAGGGTGGGCCGAGCAGATACTCCAGAGTAGAATAGAGTTGACTTACTGAGTCAATGATAGTAGGGAGTTTGGTAGTCTGAAATCTCATGAGTCGGATTGTTGAAACGATGACTGAGTAGAGGCGAGAGGGCGAGACTGGGATTGATGACTTAGGTGGTGAAAGGGATGCTGGGAGTTGTAGTTAGGAGGAGGGGTCCCGGTTGGAGTAGTGATGTGGGGCTGAAGTCGTGACACATTGGTTGCCTGTTAAATTCAGAATAGATTTTAAGATCCTCCTTCTCACATATAAAGCTCTTAACAAATCAAGGTCCATCATACATCAGTGACCTGATTATTCCATAGGTTCCTAACCGAGCACTTCGCTCTCATACTGCAGGTTTACTGGTGGTTCCCAGAATATCTAAATGGGAGGCAGTTCTTTTAGTTATCAGGCTCCACTCTTGTGGAACCAACTCCCAGCTTTAGTCCATGAGGCAGACACCTTGTCTACTTTTAAGACTAGACTTAAAACATTTTTATTTGATAGGGCCTATTGTTAAAATATGAATGAATAATAGCTTGATGTAAAAATGTGTGTATGTGATGTTCTAACATGGTATAGCTATAAATATATTGTGGAGATTAAACAAATAAAGTGGTTCTCTCACATATGTCTAAATCCTCAATAACGAAAGAAACTATTAGACTATCCGGTTATCAGCAGTGCTGCCAACCCCCACGCACTGAGCGTGAGACACATGCATTTGACCCTCTTCATGCGCTCTCTCGCCAGGGTGAAACAGTCCACGCACCACCCCCGTTCTCACGCATTTAAATGTTCTAAAGTTGGCAGTCCTGTATCAGTCTCACCGAACCGCCTCACTTCCATGGGTCCTCAATTCATCACACACTCACGAATTTAGCAGCAGAACGCCACTGGTGTGTGAGAGGTTCTCCGCTCAATAACACCAGCGAAGGAGAAACAGCCGGCTTCTACCACTTCAACTTTGGGACAAACTACCCGAGTCCCAAAAAGAAGAAACATCAAGAGATTTGGACCTAGAAAACAGCGACTGGTGTTTAGCTCTACTCTGTTTACTCTGGCAATGCGTGTTCTAATATCAGGCTGATGTGGCCTAGGCATGCTAGCCAACCAGAGCGGTGAGAGTTCTGCGACCATGTTTGTGCTTAAAAGCTGGCTTGTTTTTTTCTAGATTTGCTCTTGCAGCTTTAGACGGTTTATGGGACATTATCACTGCTTTCAAAATGCCTCAAACCAACGTAGGGACTTTTAATTAAACTTTAGGAAGTCGGTGCACATACATTTATATCAATGGAGTCAATAAAATGTAACCTATAACTTAGTCAGTTTTACAAATATTGAGGTACATTTTCATGCATTGTGTCATCTGTTTGCCATGTCCAGTGTCTTTAGGTCACCTGGACTCCCCACCTTAGACCACAGCTATAGGGCCAGCTGCTCCTCACCTCTCCCTGTATAAATAGTTCAGTTTCAACACTCTTTAGTCAGATCCCTCTGTGACCTCTCTGCTACCATCTGATCCTAAAGTGGTCCCATTTTTTTTTACTTTTAAGGTTTTTTTTTCTTTATTCCAGCCATGATAAGCATAACATCAGATAAAACCCTTAAGAGTTAGTCCTTAACCTTAACATAAAAATGAAGTTTACTTTTTACTGAATTTCTTTGGTCACTCACCCACAGGTTGGTTGGTTGGTTGGTGTTTGACCCAGGGTGCAGGTGAAGGAGCAGGAGGCAAGTAAACTAAAATGTCAAGGACACAAAAAACAACAGAATAACTGGTGACTAAAACAAAGAAACAAGTAGACAACAGGATCTAACAGGATGCTGGGATTGGGATTACAATGAGAGAACAGGTGAGCTGATTCCTGGTGGAAGCAGGTGTGCAGTTATAATCTGGAGCTGAGCGTAAAACTAAACTATAACAGAAGAAGTCATGGCTGTCTCTGTCTTATCTGTTTTCTTCTCCTGATTCCATTAGCACTGAAGGACAAGACGTCCTTCATGTGTTCCATATGCACTTATTCATCCTTTGCATTAGTGGCCAGTAAATCTGCAGTCTGAGGACGTCTGCTGAATGCAGACGAGGCCTGTAGTCGTAAATGCTTGGGTTTGCCATTGCTGTCGGTGGGCTGAAGTGCTCTAGTAACAGTAGAGATGTAAATGATACAATCCATCCATCCATCCATCCATCCATCCATCATCCACTCAGCTTTCTCCTGCTGTTGACTCCATTATCTTGAGCCACAATCTCACTCCTGACAGGTTTCCAGACGTCTGGATGGGATGTTCCATGGCCGGTAGCAGCCGCTGGAAACTATGCCTTCCACTTCCTGAGAAAACATTCTCGCTCATATTGTGATGGTTGTTTTTAAAGTTTGCCGGGTCCCTGGTGGGGCTTGTTTAAAAAAATAATAATTCAGAAATAGGGACAAATCTGCCAGTTTGAAAGTTCGTCTTCAATTGTAAGTTTAATTTCCTGTGAGTTTTCTGGTGTTGTGCAACATCTCCACTATTAGAGAAAAGGATAAACAACAACACCCGCATGGTTTAGCCGTAAGCTCACAAACCTCTATCTAGGAGGGTCTTTTTCATTTGGAGATAAATCCAGACTAAAGTAGTTACACTGGACAGATGTGGTGTTTGTGGACACACGTCTGGGTGGGGTTGAAATAACCACATCATTGGTCTTCAAGGACAACCATCGTAACTACACGTGTTTAATCAAGCTGTGGTTTCATGATGAAATCATGTTTGTTACATAAAACGTGTGTGTGTGTGTGTGTGTGTGTGTGTGTCTACACTACAGCACGAACAGCTTTTTATATTTCCTGTTGTTCTTTCCAGAACCACAGATGTGAGGTTGTTGCCCCCCCCCCCCCACCCCCCACCACCCTCGTGATGCAATCTCATTACTATTGTTACCACATGTTGTCTTTGCTAGTTCCTGTTATGTTTTGTTGAAGACCGGACACGCGCAGCACGAACACGCCCACGGTGTTCAAGAGTTAACGGGTCAGGTACAGAAACAACAATTAGACGTGTTGGACTGGCTCTGGGTCTGTTTATAGCGCAGCGATGTTTCATCTGCGGGACAGTTGGCTGACAGGTATCATGACTAGTAGCTTAGTTGGGAGGATTTACCTGGAGCTCAGTCATTCAGTGGCAGTACTCATCTAAACAAGCCACTGAGGTGTGAAAGTGTCTTTGTGTCTTCGTACCTGCATGTCTCACACCTGTTAAGCCCCAGCCTGGTGTGTGAGTGTGCTGAGTGAGAAGACAAGCCAACTGGATATCATTTTAGCTAACGTCTCATCCAAAAGATTTATTACACACGGTTCCCATGACAACCAGCTGTATTTTAGATGTTAGTGTCTGAAGTAGCTTCTAAAGTTCCTCTAACACCAGTTGTCACCATCCTAAGTAAAAAACTCTTTACTGACCAGTGAAGGAGAGACTAGAGGACACAGCACCAACAAGAGCAGAGGGGCTTTGCTGTTTTATTTATTCATTTTTGAATGCAACAGTTTTTTATTCTAGAAATACATATTATTTCTGTTTTTGGCTGACAGACTTTCCTAGTTGTGAGTTCTGCTTGTTCTTGAATCTCCTCCATCTCTTCCACCAGTGTGTGGCTGTGAGCTGGCCCAGGGAGGCTTCTTTGTGCGGCAGGGCGAGTACATCTGCACCCTGGACTACCAGCGGCTGTACGGCACTCGCTGCTTCAGCTGCCAGGACTTCATAGAGGGGGAGGTGGTGTCTGCTCTGGGGAAGACCTACCATCCCCGCTGCTTCGTCTGCTCCTCGTGCAAGTAAGAACCACAGATGTGGGCCGTGAAATGCTTAGACTGCTGCAATAAACGTGGTAATCAATGGCTCGTGTCTGCTGTCTAATGAAACGTAGAAAGGATGCAGCCAAACGGCTCACACATGAGAGTGTTTACATTCACATCGGATTGTGAAAGTTTTTTAGAAATAAGAAAACACTGTTTCACACTTGACATGTTGTGTGTGTTCTCTACACTATGAATACACAGATTAAAACAGATTTACTAATTTACTTGTAACTTTTCATACTTTTAAATAATTTCCTTGTGACAGTGTGACAGTAAGAGCTAAAATGATCCATTACAGGGTTAATGAAAGGCCACCCAGCCCCTATCGCCCCCTGGGGCCAGAACATCTCACTTGCAACTTCAGACTTGTGGGCTGCTCTGTTGGGACTTAGAAAAAAATTGAGCTGACATATCTGGTGCTGCAATCTAGTTCCAGCACGTTTCCTGTATGTTTGAGATCATGAACACACTCATTTGTTTAATTTAGGGATGAATCACTCCTGTAGACACTAATGAAGGCTGGAGAGACGTTTCAGCTGTTAGATTAGGGTGTTAAAACGACAAACGCACGGCGAGGAGATAGGTTTCACTTTCGGTTCTACAAACGGACCCTAGGGGGTGCTAAAAGCAGGCCAAAACTGCTTCTTCTCTCTTCTAAAAAGCAAAATTTAATTAAAAACATTTAATTAAAACTGATATTCCTGTGTTAATGTTTAAACATGTGCAATGACTTGTTATAAATGAGCATTTTGTGTCCCACCTCATCCTATTGGCTGTTCAGATTCAGAGCTGAAACTCAAAAGGCAAACAACAAGGATAGTAAAGAATAGTTAGAACAGAGTACTTTTTACCAGGTTTTGTCACTGATTATTACTTTGATTTGGAGTGTAACAATAAATTGTGTTAATACAGACAGATGAGCGCACCTGAGCAGGGTAAATAGGAAGTTGGAACCAATATAAAGCAGAGAAGAATTGAATTAATCTGACATATAAACTATTTTAAAAAATCCAGATTAATAGTTACATGTCAACGCCACATCAGCTCATCCCTTGAGTAATAGGAGCCTTTTACATAAAGAAGTCTGTCACTGAAAAAACATATTTTATTTATTATTTCTAATTATATCAGTCACTGAGTTTTTCATGCAGACTGAACATGAAAATAGTCTCCTACACCTATCTCCTGCATTAGCTTCTGATAGAAAACAGACGGTGAAACTCTAGGATTACAAAATCCTGAGAGATCTACATCACACTGTCACTAACATTCATGGACCCACCATCTTGACTTGTGACAGGAAGGCTGTTATTGGTTCAGCGTCCACGAAACAGCAGACCGTCTTGACTAGTAGAAGCTAACTGTTAGCATTAGCAACTCCACCACATGGTAGAACTCCTTTAGGTTTGTGTTATTTGTGAAAAGAAAACATCAACGTTGCAAGTGATGTTGCTGTTATCCAATCAGAGGTGTGATGCCCAAATATCAGGAAATAAGGCTCCAACTCTGCGAAGCTACTGTCTCCTCCAGCTGACTTCTCCGTGCTGAAACACAGAGCATCTTACACCACATGTGTCAGACACAAGGCTGGCCCACGGAGCATTTTTATGTGGCCCGCGAGATAAATATCAAAAATATATTAAAAGTGACCCGCTGGCCGATTTTACCGCAAAGACTACAACTCCCATGATGCTTTGCGGTGTTAGCATGGAGCCGAAGCGCCCCCTCCTTTGTGTTTTTTCCAGCGTCTGCTGCCGGTGTCTGCAGCTCCGCTGTCTCGGACTAACTAAACACTCCTCTCACTCAGCGCCGAGTTTACTCAGCTATTTGCCAACGTTGAAGCCCAGAAACTGAGATTTTAACCGCTCAGTAATGTGTTCACGACTGAAAGAGAAAGTTTTCCAACTAACTTCAAGACAGAGCCGATATAACTCCAGTGAACAGCGACACGCTCAAACCAGCATGACTCTGTGGCTGCTGTAGTTGTTATTTTTCCTCGTCGACACATAACAACGTGGTCAAGCTGCTCAGACATGTTCATCAGCACAAACCTATGTGAGCACCTGTTGTCATCTAATGTTGTCATTATTATGATGAAGATGAACAAAACAACAGGAGTCTCCTCCTCAGCTCAGATCAACCCCATGATGCAGGTATCTGGCTGGAACAGGTGAGCATCACAGTAAACCAGTGGCGCAAACTGAGCTTTAAATATGTTGGTTTTATGCTCTTTTTCTGCTCCAAAACATGAAAGTTAACAGGTGAGATGTTGCATTTTCATTTAAGATAAAATGATATTTTTATTTTGTTGTTGGCCCGTGAGAAAAGATTTAACCTACAGTAAACAGGAAGTGGAAAGGCTGCAGATAGATGAATAGAATAGAAAATCCCTTTATTGTTCCTCAGTGGGGAAAGCTAGACGTCACACCAGCGATGACTCTTATTACAGGAGAAAAAAAGGGAATAAAAAATAATAAAAATGAATAGACAAGAAAACATAAATCCTGAATAGATTTTAAAAATGCTGATTATACCACAAGTAATGAATACCACTGATGCCTTTTATTTAAAACTGACTTGCTCGTGTGTAATTTGGTTATTCCACATTCAGTGTTAATGCAGAAATAAGTTTGTTTCCAAATTAAAAGGTTCAAAATTGCAGATATGTTGATAAAGAAAATGTGCAAATTTGCCGTCACTTTTTCAAAAAATATGAAGTTTGGCCCTCGACTCCGTCCCAGAGTTTCATTTCGGCCCAGTGTGAGTTTGAGTTTGACACCCCTGATCTACTACATTCATCCCAACTAGAGACCACTTCAAATATGAGTGAAGGACCTCTCTAATGATTTATAGATATGAGTTATGTGGCTTCAACATAAAATAATAAAAGAAAATTGTTAATAAACCTTCAAAATGTCTGATAAACTACAGATTAAAACAACTTTTGAGGGTAAAATAGAACGGGTGTTATGAAAAGAAAATGAAAAGGAATGATGCACCTATTTTAGTTGATCCAGAACTCGTGTTCCTGTCTGAATTGTTCCTTTGCTTTAGAACCAGCTATTCTAATCAGCAGAGATTGTGAAACAAGAGTATCTGAAATGATTCATGCTGTCAGGGTTTTACTGTAGCTTCAAAGGCTCGGGATTATGCTTCCTGTCTGTTTAGTCATGACTTACGTATAATCTGAGCCCTTCTCCTGGTTCTGACTGCGGCACTCAGATCATATTTCTGAGCTGAAGGCAGCGGGTCGGAGCCCGGCTCTGTCAACTTGGTCCTGTCTGCGTTTGCTGACAGCAGCTCAAACTGCCAGGAAGCAATTATGTTGTCACCTCCATCTCAGGATTTAAACCAGTGAATCAAACCAGAGTCAGAGTGACTTCAGCTGCTCCAGAACCATCAGGATCCAGACACTGGTGGCCCACCGGCTACTGGAACCCAGCTATTGGACCCAGTTTCGTACAGCACCAACACTGTGTGTAGGAAAAAAATGTTATTCATTTATCCAGACTTGTTCTTTATTGATGCCACCTCTCAGGAATTTCTGTTGCAGACTGATGACTGACTGCTCCATCAGTCAGTAAGAGGTCAATGACCCCTCCTCTGTTGTGTGAAAAGTTAGAGGTCACTCAGGAGGTCGAAGCAGTTTTGAGACGTCAACAAAACACTTTGGTCCAGACTCCGATTAGCCGTTAGTACCTTATTCCAGAGGGAAATAAATTCTATTTCTCTGTACAGAGGCTGTTCAGGAAACCATCTACAGCAACGCAGTTACCTTTGGTTCACCCTTTAGTTTGTTTTCTGAAGAGATTACATTTTAATTTGACCCTTTTCTGCAAGAGACAAAGCCATTCTCTGATGTTTGTTTGTTTGTTTGTTTGTTTGCAGACAGCCGTTCCCAGCTGGTGACCGGGTGACATTTAATGGGAAGGAGTGTATCTGTCAGAAGTGCACACAGCCCCTCCCCACCAGCAGCCCCGCCCCCATACAGGCCGTCCACAGTCAGTGATCCTCCTCATGATATCAGATTCTTTATTCTCATTTAGATCATAGTGACATTTTAGCCAGCCTGTGTGTGTGTGTGTGTGTGTGTGTGTGTGTGTGTGTGTGTGTGTGTGTGTGTGTGTGTGTGTGTGTGTGTGTGTGTGTGTGTGTGTGTGTGTGTGTGTGTGTGTGTGTGTGTGCAGACTGCTGTGGCTGTGGGAAGGAGTTTAAGAACGAACAGTCCCTCGTAGCGCTGGACAAACACTGGCACCTCGGTTGCTTCAAGTGCAAAGTGTGTAACAAGGTGCTGAACGCCGAGTACATCAGCAAGTAAGTAGCCCCTCTGCTGCCAGCTAGAATGTCTCCAGCTAGAATGTCTCCAGCTAGAATGCCTTTACATCATGCTGAGCTGGTCAGCGTTGGACTGATGGCGTTTTTATGGATCTACTTTTCAACACAAATCTTTTGTCTTTGTACTCTAGTTGGGATCATAATACCACAAGACTTTAATTATCAGTAGATGTAAACTAAACCAATGATCTTTGGAAATGGTTTAATATCTGACCTGTTGTAGACTGTTCTTCGAACAGTTAACGGGGCCAAGAACAAAGTGACACAAAGTTTTAAAACCATTTAAATCAGGGATAGGAAGTGAATGCGTTAATTACGATAAATTAGGTAGAAAAAATAACGCGTTAAAAATGTACCCCTTTGAGCCCATGCTTCCCCCCATTGGAGGCCAGAAAAGTTTCATTTTGCATCATAATTTATGCCCTATATATCAAGAAATGGTAAATGGACTGTATTTGATATAGCACCTTCTTAGAGTTCTCCAACCCCCCAAGGCACTTCACAACACAATCAGTCATTCACCCATTCACATGCTGGTGATGATGAGCAAAGATGTAGCTACAGCTACCCTGAGGCACAGTGACAGAGGCGAGGCAAACACTGGCACCACCGGTCCCTCTGACCACCACCAGCAGGCAAGGCAGGTTAAGTGTCTTGCTCAAGGACACAACAGCAGCATTCTCAGGTGGGAGCCAGGATCAAACCTTCAACCTTCTGATTATTGGACAACCAGCTCTACCTCTTGAGCTGCTGAGCTAAACATCATCAAGTTGCACCTCTAACAAGACTGCAGAGCCTGGGCTCAGCATATATCTTGTAACCGCCTGAACTCTACACTACACCTCTAAATCGGTTAGCAGTGCTCTGCTGCCATCTAGTGTTCCATGTTGATTTACACTTCCTCAAAACATGCATTAACATTTACACATCCCAACAAATCACTCACTGGTTAGCTTGAGGCATCAAAGTAATCAAATAGACCTTGTGGTTACAGAAAAACACCCATTAAAGTGTGGGTATGTCATCTGTGCCTCACTCAAATTGTTTTTGATAAAAAATAGCTTGGGCTCAAACAGGGGTGGATTTAGCTATTTGGGGGCCCAAGGCGAGCACAGACATGCGGCCCTTACACTAAATTTTCGACAATCTTACCTTTAACTGGATTTGCGAAACTCTTCCCTCTTCTGACACGAGTTATTTCCCCCTTTTATTAGTCCTCCTCTTTTTTCCTGTATTTCCCTCCCTTTGAGCGCTTTCAATATTTGCTAAGCTTTCTTTTCCCTGTCAGTGCTCCTGTGCTTTTACCTTTGTTTTTGTTTTTCTATTTTCCATTTTGGTTTATGTTTTCCTCCCTTTAAACATTTTCCATTGTCTTTCCTTTCTGCTTCCTTTTAATATTTACATCAAAAAACAACGTCACTTTCAGAAGTGAAAATAAAAGCTTTTATGAAGCACGCTGCTTCTTTCTCTTACTGGAGCCACTAGGATAAATCCATTTCATGCTTAATGTTTTGACTATCGCTTTGAGTTTGTTACGAACGCTCCCACCTCTCTTCTTCTTCTTATTTGTGGTCTTATGGCACTTGGCAAACAACAATTTGGTGCATTACTGCCACCAACTGGATTGGAGTGGAATGACTACCAATCACTTCCTGTTTGTGCATCGACGTCTTAATAACCCTCTTATGACCATAATTATAACAGGGCTGCCTGATATTACTTTAATCTTATGGCTGTAAAATTGTAATAAAAAGTGCAAAGTGTGTGTAACTCTTCTTTTTTCAGAACAACCTCAGCTTTCAGTGTATGGTTTGTATTTAGAATTTATTTCTATTAAAGCCTTTAAAAAATCAGCTTAAAAGTGAAAAAAGCAATAAACGGATTTGAATTTTTTACATTTATTACTGAACAGGAACTTCAAAATTACTGGGCAAACAAATTGGAATGAACAATTTAAACTTTGAACTGTAATGGATCTATTCTTAAAGTTTGAACCTTGGTATCTTTTTTGCAGTTTTTAAGACTCATTTGTAAACTTTCAGACGTTTTTATTTGATGTGGTAGGCCTTGAAGCAGTTTCTCTCCAGCTGCAGGCAGAGTCCTGCACACCTCACACTGCCATGGGGTGCTTCTCCTGCACACCACGTGCACTGCTATACCAAAAACTTTAGTTTTAGCAAAAATAATCATTTATTGTAAAAAGATAAATAATGCTGGAAAGAAGCTGAATCTTACAATTAGCAAATAGTTGAGGGTTGTTAAAAAAAAGACTGAACAAACATTCATACCCTGGTTCACTGGAGATCTGCCCTTTTGTGGTCACTGTCTTCAGATATAAGCCTTCTGGGACACCTAATAGATCGTGTTGATTTTCTTTGAGGCATTTCCGTAGTTTCATGCTGTTTTTTATGCTGATTAGCTTCCCCATTCCGTTATCCGCTTTCACCGCGGCGCTGCGCTCCATTTCAATCAGGCTGTTTAGCAGGATTTCCCCTCGTAGCGATATGTTGCATAACTTTGATTGCTTCATGCTATAGATCGTTGGAAAGCTGCTTTTATGTACTTTTAGGAAACATTGGAATTTTTTCAATCTGATCAGCCATTCAAAAGTTATAAAACGGAGCATTTTGGATGACAAACTCAGCACGTCTCTGAATCTATGTTGTGATTCGTTGTGCTCAAGACAGGGAATCCCGGTGGCTACCATAATGTATTGTATTTGCACGAAAAGCCCCATTTTTAATCTTTTCAGCACGTTTGGAACTTTAATGATATCTTGAACAGTTCAAGAATTATGGTAATGAGAGGTGCGCGTGTCCAATCCCATCTGCGGCTACAGGTTGGTAATAAGAATATTGTGGCATTAACAGAGGGGTGCCGGTGGTCAGGGCTAGAGGCCCCCCAACACAAGGGGGCCCCAGGCAGCTGCCGACCTATGCCTAATGGTAAAACCGCCACTGGGCTCAAATAGTCTTAAATGATTAAAATGTGATTTATCAAGATTAACTCATTGTGCCAGCATTTTTGATCATTTTTACTGTTTTTTTGAAGAGTCACAGAGCACTGTGCTCTTTGATGATGTAAACATCAGAACTACAAAAGAAAGAGTAGACTCACTGCTTACATCGGGAAGAATCAGCTTGTTTCTAGCTTTTCCATTTTTTCACAATCCGTTTTCGAAGTGTGAGCCGCCGAAGCTTTTCCGATTCGCGCCTTACTTTGGGCCAGGGGTGGGCAATCCTGGTCCTTGAGGGCCGCAATCCAGCATGTTTTAATAGTTTTTCTGCTTAAACACACCTGGCTTGAATCCGCTGGTGATTAACAGATGGCCGCAGAGCCCGATGAGCTGCTGAATAAGCGACTCATCCAGGAATCGGGTGAGTTGGAGCAGGTAAACAACTAAAACCTGCTGGACAGTGGCCCTCGAGGACCAGGATTTCCCACCTCTGGTTGAGGCATAGCGGCGTCCCAAACCGATCTCATAATTCATGGATTGTCTGCTTCTTGATCACGTGACATGCGACAAACATGGATAAAAATCTACTTTAGAGCTGTGATGTGTACTCTCAACGTGCGTGAGCTTGTTCCCAAGCCCATCCCCTTAAGAAACACAATAGACAACTTTAGCTGTCTATGGCAGTGAATGAATTAAGCAATTCCATCCAACCATCCATCCGTTTTCTTCCGTCTATCTGGAGTTGGGTCGCGGGGTCAGCAGCCTAAGTCGAGAGGCTCAGACTTCCTTCTCCCCACTTGGGCCAGCTCCTCCAGGGGAATCCCATGGCATTTCCTGGTTGTGCGGGAGACATAGTCCCTTCAACGTGTCCTGGGTCTCCCTTTAGGTCTCCTCCTGGTTGGACGTGCCCGGAAAACCTCTAGGGAGGCGTCCTAATCAGATGCCTGGGCCACCTCAACTGGCTCCTGTCGACGTGGAGGAGCAGCGGGTCTACTCCGAGCCCCTCCTGGATGACCGAACTTCTCACCCCATCTCTAAGGGAGAGCCCAGCCGCTGTGTGGAGAAAACTCATTTCAGCCGCTTGTATCCGTGATCTCGTTCTTTCGGTCACTACTCAAACTCGTGACCCTAGGTGAGGGTAGGAACGTAGATTGACCGTTAAATTGCGAGTTTTGCCTTCTGGCTCAGCTCTCTCTTCACCACGACAGATTGGTACAATATGGAACTCAAAAGTATTCAAAGTTCAATAAATAAATAAGACATTATGAAATAAATATCTACATGAAGAAATCATGTAATCTTACTGTCACACCCTGTCCTGTTTCCCCTTTTGGTTTAGTCCTGTGTCTCTGTTAATTGCTCCCACCTGCCTCTCGGTTTCCAATCACCGAAACTCCCAGCCCTCTTGTATTTAAACCCCTTCAGTTCTGTGTCTCGTGTTGGATCATTGTTTCTATGTCCTGCTTGCTTCATATTAAAGTTATTGTAAAACGTTCCTACCTGTCTGCCTGTCTTCCTCACCCCGTTTGGATCCTCACCTCATCTCCGCTTCGCTCACCGGCACGTTAGTTACAGAATGATCCAACCCTGTAAAGGATCCAGCGGGGAGATTCTCCCCTGGGAGTGCCTGCTACAGTTCCTCTCCTCTGACCACCGGCCGGCTTCTCCTCTTCCGGCTTCGCCTCGCCGCAGACGCCGTCACCGACCTTCAGCCTCGGCGATCCTCTCCACCCTCCCGGAGCCAGATGAGAGGTTGGACCGGGAGACGCTTCCAGATCGCACCAGCTACGTGGGCACCAGACTGGCTATGTGCTCCCCCGGAGCTGGCCCACGGCGTGAGGAAGGATGCCGGGCTCCACCGCAATCCTGTGTCCCAGGACGGAGCCACGAGCTTGCCGCTGCCCCGGCTCGGCGCACCTGCTTGGACCCGCCCCCAGTCAGACTAGCAGCCCCGTCTCCGGTCCAATCCGCGCCTCCATCATCTGCAGGCGGAGGAACAATGCCCACAGCCCAGCTGACAGAGCTCGCAGGTCTCCAGGCGGAGCTTGGCCGGATCCGTCAGCTCGTCAGCCTCCAGGAGTCCCACCTGGACACCCTGTCCTCCCCGAATCACCAGGAGAGGGTTTCAGTCCAGGCAGCCAGCAGCTCCCTCGTCTCAGAGCCAGAGGAGCGAGCCTGCAGTCCACCCAGCAGAGCTCGCCGGTCTCCGAGCTGAGCTGGCCCTACTCCATCAGAGCCTCAGTCTCCAGGAGCTCCAACTGGACACTCTATCCTCCCTCCTCTCCCAGTTTCCAGCACCACCAGTTCAGTCGCATCCTGTTCCAGCGGTGGTACCGGTGGATGCACCACATCCAGTTCCTGTGGTGGTACCGGTGGATGCACCACATCCAGTTCCTGTGGTGGTCCCGGTGGATGCACCACATCCAGTTGCCATGGTGGTCCCGGAGGTCGCACCGCATCCGGTCCAGCCTGTCCAAGCGGTCCCGTCTGCAGCAACTCCTCCTCCACTCCAGAAGCTGGCGGTCCAGAAGCTGGCGGTCCAGAAGCCGGCGGTCCAGAAGCCGGCGGTCCAGAGGCCAGCGGTGCAGAAGCCCCATAATGAAATAAATCAGCCATGGGAAAAAAACACTATTATGAAATAAAAGCTGTCTTTGTTAAAAAGACTGTGTAATAAAAACTGAATGAATTAAATAAAAATTGCTCAATATTAATTTGGATTTTATGAAAAAATGACTTTTGAAAAAACATATTACTAAAGACATTTTAAAAGAAGAATGAAACTATTTTATAATATTGAGCTTAGATTTTACAATAACATTCTGTTATTTCATCATTTCATTGTCAGATTACATGATTGTCTAGTATTTCTTCATGTAGATATTTTTTATTTCATAATGTCTTATTTATTTATTGAATTTGAATACTTTTGAGTTCCAAAGTACAACGCCCGCATCACTGCAGACGCAGCACCAATCCGCCTATATCGATCTCGTACATCAGCTTTCCCTCACTTGTGAACAAGACCCCTTAAGTAATAACAAAGCCTCTAATGAATTAAATTATTTTTAAAATCAAATCCCACCCCTAGTTTATACATATGCTAAATGGAAATCCATACATTAGCTTTGATTTCACTTTTCAAGGGTAATCCATCCGAATCATTAGGAATAAACAGTCTGGAAGTCATCAAGATATTCCCTAACAACCAACAGATTGGAACGTGAAAGTCATGGGATGTAAAAGTTTTATGCCGTGAACCTGTGTGACACTTTTGAGATTAGAGTTGTTTTATGAGGAGATTTAAAGCTGATGGTCTGGTCCGTGTCTGATCCATGTTCTGGTTCTGTGTTGTCCAAACAGGGATGGGATTCCCTACTGTGAGATGGATTACCACGCCATGTTTGGTATCCAGTGTGAGAGCTGTAAGATGTTCATTACTGGGAAAGTCCTGGAGGTACAGTACCAGCCACCAATATCCTGTTTGCACACTTAGATTATTCAATAGTTACTTCATGGAACGTCACCTAAAGAGAAACGTAGATTTGGAGGATGAAAGGTTGATTAGGAAAATCTGTTTAAAAGAGTCAGGTGTTTCCTCAGACTGGTTTCCTCATGATGTTTGTTAAAACCAACGACTGGTGCCTTCCGTAACCACGCATAGAGACAGACACATCGCAACTATCTTCATGTCTTATTCTTCAGCACAGCCACATAGTATACTCTCTAAGCAGCACCACAATCTATGGCAACGACGCACTTACCAACAGATTTCCACAGATTTATGTCCAGGTTTTTCCTTTGATCGGTGGTTTTGTAATGGGCATAAGGATTTCGGTTCCCCGTGTTTTTCCAGTCAGCATTCTGCAAACACTGCATCCAGTATTTAGAGAATGAAATGCTGCTTCATGCAGAAACCGAGGGAGCAAACACTCTTGTACTGGTGCGGCTTTCATACAAATAAAGAGGACCTGAAAGCAGCCAGAGCCTCTTAGACAGAACTCAGCCTGTGTTCCTCAGTGGTTTAGGGGTTTAAATGGTTTTTATAACATTTGTCTTTTAAAACCTGGCATCAAGATGTCATCAACAGCTTTAATCCTCAATGGTGTGTAGGTGTCTTAAGCTAACCATTAGCATTAGCAACATCACCTCACGGCAGAAGCTCCTCCAGACTTGTGTTATTTGTGGAGATAAAATATCCACGTTGCAAGACAGTGTTAGTTATGTTGCTTTTGTTCAATCCAGGGCGAGATGTCCAAATACCAGGAAGTAATCTCTGAAGCTGAAGCTCAGCTGTGACGTTGCAAACTTGGCCTGCTGAGATGGGTTTGTGGGCCTTTTTATGCCCTGAGTTCTGCCTGCAAGGCATTCGTTCCTACTAGAGACCACTGCAAATGTATTGCGTGAACAAGTAATCCACACCTTAAACAATAATCAGTTAATAAATATGACCTGTAAAAAATGACAACCTAACAGAGTCATGGCTACTTAATGGTTTGTTGTAAAACTGATGATCAGATCAGAGTTGTCTCAGTGTATTAAATAAATTTGTGGTCAGTTTGCGCGTGTCTACATGACGGAACAGTAACTATGACATTTAGTTGAGATCAAAGAGTCTGACTGTAGGGATGAACCGAGTCAATAACTGGAGCAGCAGTTGGAAATTGGAGCCCTAATTACAAATTTGTCTGCTTATGCACCCAAAGGCTTTGATTAAAAAAGTATAAAATAATATTAGGCAAAACAGCCAAACATGTAGATTATACACGAGGAGCAGTATGCTAGGACTTTTGATTCATCACACAACATAAACAACCCGCAGGGCATTTCCCCCACAGACAGCAGATATTTGGTCAGGGGCGTGTCCAGGGAGTGGCCTGGGGTAGCACATGCCACCCTTGGAATCTGATTGGCCACCCCAGGTGCCACCACACTAATTTACCTTTAAATAGGCTTTTCATTGTCCACAAAAGGCTTGGGGGTAAAAAAAAAAAAAAAAAGCATAACCATTGGTGCCACCCATGCACAAAGTTGTGCCTCACCTGGGCCACCCCATTTTAATAGATCTAGACACGCCACTGGATTTGGTAAAACAGGGGAGGAACCCTTTTAGAAACGCTATAGCTCAGGTAGATTTCACAGCAGAAACATCGTTTAAAGTTTCAATGGGGCACAGGAAGTTGGACCGAACGTGACTTCATAGATGAAGTCTGAGGATTTTTGGAGATTTTTTTCAAAAAATATTTATGTGAGAAAACCACAGAGTAACATTCTGATCTTTTCCAAGCAAACGTTTCTTCACACTGTCAAAACCTTCGCAGGACAAATACGATCCATACATCAAAACATTAGTATGTGAGTGCAGTGTGCCTCTCTGCTGCAGTTCTGATGAGTTCCTCCTTAATCCCCTCAGACTTCAGAGGGTCCACACCTTCAGTTAGACTCTCTGCTAAGCTGCAGTTGAAGGCTGTTCTTAGCTTGTGTGTCTCCTGCGCTGAACAAACATAAACATTTGTTCGTGGGACCATCACAGCCTTTTGCTGCCCACAGTTCAACTGGGAGTTGCCATGGTGACCTTGATGAACCACTGACAGCAGCTTTAACATTTCTATTGATCTGGCTTCTCTTCACAGTTTAAGCAGAGATTTTGTCACATGCCAGGTCGCTAGATGCAGACCCGTCAACATTCCATCAGAAATGTACTAGGCGCTGTTGGTTTAGGCATAAATTAACCTGTGTTTGGGATATTTGTCATGTGTGTGAGCTGCAGAGTCGGACAGGGAGTTCTGTGATGTAAAGGCACGTTGTAGACTGATGGTCTTTGGTACATCCCAGCCTATAGAACATCAGTTTATTTGGCCAGAACCATAGATAATGACATATGTGCCGTATGTTTGCATCTGTTTTAATGGATCATCATTTTTGCTGAGTGGAAAGCGCACACAGAGGAGTTTATTTAGAGGAACCTTGTAGTCAACGGGCTCTGGGGCAGAAAGGGAGAAGGTCCGTCTCCTTTCACCTAGTGGGGAACAGTGTAGCCCACTCCTTTTCCTGCAGGGCCTTGAATAAATTAAAACCCTCCTCATGCAGCTTTGGATCCTAACAAAAGAAGGATTTGATAGTGGTGCTATCTCTTTTCCTGCCCCTTCATACTTTCCATGTTCAAATCCCAGAACCGTTCCAGCTTCTTCATATCTCTGGGCCGCAGTGTTCCAAAGTCAACTTCCTCTTTTCTCCCAGACTCAGTCTTTTATTTGGTGCTTAATCATTTTAAACATCAACTTCTGGCCTAGCCCACCCCCCGAGCTTCTGAAGTTTTTTGAAGAACCTAATATTTTTTAATACCTGGACCCACACTTCCTCTGCTCAGTCAGGACTTTAGTTTCTGGAAGCTGCCTTTCTCCATCTGCTGCTCGTTTGCAGGGTTAGGGATGAGCTCAAACAGGGTGTTGGTTCCCTGTTGGGATGACGAGGCAAAGCGGAGAGAAGAACAGAGTGAGTTCATGATAGTCGCCATCGAAATAAAAATGTTGTGATTCAAGCCAGGAAACAGGGCTGAGAACAAGACACACCTCCAGGACGGAGGCAGGCTGACATCAGGATGCCTTTGGAGGATGTGGTGGTGTGATGAAAAAAGATGAAAATTTAAATAAAAGTTAGAATGATGTCATTAAATATGGAACAGTGAGTAGAGAACATGCTGAAAGGCATTATGGGTAGTGTAGTTCTTTGTGCTGCTTAGTTTTGGATTCCACTTTAATCTCAAACTCACTTTTGCTATTTCTGCTTAACTATAAAGTATTTTTCTAGCACTCTGATCGAGGTAAAGTCTATTGTGAGCTGCACGCTGGGGCAGTTTGGAACACAGTTGTCTTAAAGAAGGTCACAGGTTCAAATCCCAGCTGTGATCCTGCTACAAGCGTTAGCATGTTCTCTTCATGCATGCCTGGGTTGAGTCAGGATGCTCCAACAGGCCAAAAACATGCATGTCAGGTAACACCTGAGTTAGGTAAAAGTGTCTAAACAACATAAACTCACACTTTTGACTTTAATCCTGAAACTGGAAAACAAACAAAAACAACTTTTTTTTCTGCTGCCTTCTCCGCACCCTCTGAGAGCCCGCACTAGAGACGTGTCAGGGTTCTGCCGGTTTGACAGTTGGGTTCTGGGTTAATGTTCTGGGTCTGATCATCATCAGACCTGCAGACAATGTAAACAAAATGCAGAAGCAAGAAGAAAACTGCAGATGGAACCAGATCCTCTCTAGGTCTTGCTAGGAAGTCATGAGAACCACTTTAGCTGTATGGTTTCACAGGTCCAGAGAGAATCCACAGCATGACTCCAATCATCCATCCTAACAGTGACACCCCTCTCCTGTCACACCTCCATGTAGGTTCTCCGTCATGCCCTAAAGATAACACTCCCACCCCACCCCATTAGCTTCTAAGAGTGAAGCAGCCTGTGTTAAACATGCTCTGATGGACGATCACTTGGGAATCCTTGTGAAGATTGGAGATGTTTCTCAGAAGCTGAAAGAGCAATAAAACCAAAGATTTGTTACTCCTCTGTCTTTGGAGTACAACCAAAACACAACAGCCCCCTCTTGTGGTCACATAATATTTCACAGCATAAAAAAACAACTTCTGGGTGTTTATTGGAATTGATCAATGGTGACAGACTTTCCACCCAAAGCAATCAGCTTCATCCAGTTTTAACCAATTTTCAGGATCTAGTTAAGGAAAGAAAATTCAGAAACTATTTTACTGAATCATTAACGTAAAACTCGGTTTAGGAGGTTGATCCACGTACAGGCTTTTGTTTTCACTCTGGTTATTCCATTAGAATTACAGCATTTTACAAGAAAAGCACCAGATTTAGTTTGTTTTTATCTGCAGGCTGGAGAGAAGCACTACCATCCCACATGTGCTCGCTGTGCTCGCTGTGAGCAGATGTTTGCAGAAGGAGAGGAGATGTACCTGCAAGGTGAGGGCGGCCATGTTTTACTGTTGCCACAAATGATTACAATTGATAAGGGGTTGTTTTTTTTGCCTAGAAGCTTAAACAGAAACCTAACCATCATCAGGTATCAGTCATCATCCATTCAAATGCAGACTGTCACATTTATTTCATCATCCATCCTGATAAGCCTGAATCAGCATTAGACTGAGTTCTCCTGAGGAGCTGCAGCAGTGTGAATAAATCATGCACGTGTGTGTGTGTGTGTGTGTGTGTGTGTGAGAGAGAGAGAGAGAGAGAGAGAGAGAGAGAGAGAGAGAGAGAGAGAGAGAGAGAGAGAGAGAGAGAGAGAGAGAGAGAGAGAGAGAGAGAGAGAGAGAGAGAGAGAGAGAGAGAGAGAGAGAGAGAGAGAGAGAGAGAGAGAGAGAGAGAGAGAGTCACACCAAGAGGCTCGTGCTGATGTTATTTACTGCTGCTGCCTCTAGCACAAACACAAAGCAGCAGCAGGTTCTTTGCTTTCAGCTGCATGGAAACACGTTCTCTTACTGTGGATGAAGTGAAAACTACTGACTATGAGATCAGTCTAGGAAAAACAGAACACATGAAATAAAAGCTGGAGTTAAACAATACAAGACTTGAATGCAACAAGTCTAATTGACCCTGCGCACAAAATAAATGCTAATTTTCAGTGAATAACAGGTGCAGTGCGTCTGATTTTGTGTTTCTACTCATATATTCCCATATATCAATGTAATAGGAGTTGTGGGTAGCAAAGCAGCCTTTAAATAAGGCTAAATAATAAATATATAACTAATAATAATAATTAGTGAGCAGCCATGACCTCACTGAAACTGCTGCCACCTGGTTTCATTAAACGTCTATAAAAAATCCAGATAATAACAACAAAAGAATAGTGCTGGTGATTCATATCAAATCATTGGTGAAATGAAGGACTATAGTGGCAGATAATGCCTTATTTAGAGGCTGCACTGTTTCCACAACTACTCCCATTATGGATATACACCGGTCCTAGATAATAAAGTAGCACGAACGTTCCCTGGGTGAGTAAATTAATAAACTGCATAGTAGAAATAAGGTCCAGGTAGAAAATAAATAGTACAACAATAATACAGCGCGTTGTGTACTCACCTTCATAGTTGTGCACATACTGGGATATGCACAATTTGAAACCCTTTTCTCATGTGCTTTGTGGAGCAGATGAAAAAGTGTCGACAGTACGATGAATGTCATCAAATGAAATTTTCTGCAAACTTCCGAGGGATCTGGAAAAGTACAGCTCACTGCATGCACGTCCATGTAGACACGACTATGAAGGGGACAGGAAGTACTAAATATTCAGATGGCTAAATGTACGTTGCTTTACATTTTCTCTTTCTGTCTCGTTGTGTTTTCAGGATCATCTATTTGGCATCCACCATGCAGATTAGCAGCCAAGCAGGAGGAGAAGAGTAAGGTGGGTAAACATGTCATTAATGAAGCAAGCCATTACACGGCTGGTCAAAGGAGTGAAGTGCCTGCCCCAAAACTAGAGGGTTTCAGTTTTGCTTCTATTTTGCTTTATAGATACAGGCCACCCTTTTCTAATTTTCAGAAGCTTCCCTGGCGTTGTCTTTGTTTGTTTTTATAGATTTGACTCCAAACAACATAAACTCACCAGAATCAGATCATGCGGTTGTGTTCCTGAATATCTCATTTCTCTTCATTTGTGATCGAGAAAACAGGCTTTGACATTTTAATTTTATTACCAATTAGTAACACTCTTTGTGTACAACATTGCATCACTTAGCCTGTACCGCCATCTGCTGGTCAAGTGTGGTCTATTTAAATAAAAGGCCAGAAAGCCAGTAGACTCTGGGAGCAGGATGTCATAAATCTGTCTCATTTCACATTTCGTGGGTATACTGATGTGGCTGTGTAATTCTTTACAAATTATGATTTATTCAAAGATTAAGAATGAAGAAACTTTTGACTTTGTGGTTGAAACTTTTAAGAGCATGCTCTTCCCATTCAAGGCTTGTGCGTTTTGGAACTTTTATTAATCTTAGCATTTTATTGCATTTCAAGTTGAATTTGTTCATTTTCACTTAAAATGTTAATATATATTTTTTCTTGATGTAACAGTTTTTGTCTCTTTTGCCCTGATTTTATTTGTTATTATTCCTTACATGTGGGGGCTCGTCCGGGATACACTAGTCTAAATGTTTAATGAGCGTTTCGGAGTTGTTATAAGCAGATTACCTCCTTGGTACATATGTGGTTCTTTTTAAAATAAATCATATTTTTAATGTAGAAGTTGTGCATATTTCTTTGGTGTGTTCTTGCTGTGTTGCTTTTCTATCTGCATTGTTGGTTCTTTTTTAAAACACAGAAAAGTTTTCTTTTTTACCTTGGTGTTGACAGTTTCGTTCGTGGTTGCGGACTTCCTCAGAGCTGACGTTGATGGTGGTGTCACTTCCTTCTTCGTTTATCCGCGGGCAGCAGAGGATGTTGTCGCCCTCTGCTGCCCGCTCTCCCCTCTCCGATGATGCAGTCCCATCAGTCCAATGTGTAAACCCCATAAACATAAACATAAACACACCAACAAAACCATACACAACAGTTAGAAACAGACTAGTGCACCCAAAAGACAAAATACCAGCTGGGCATAAATGTGGAGTCGTTTACGAAATCTCATGCAAACTCTACAATAAAACATACATAGGAGAAACCGGACGCCAACTCAACACACGAACAATAGAACATAGAAAGGAGTGTGAGAAAGAAACAAGTCGAAAACACACAAGAGCAGCAAAACAAGAAGCAGAAAGCTCAATAAAGAAGTCAGCCATAACAGATCACTGCACAAGAGAAAACCGTATAAAGGACTGGGACAACACAAGGATCATAAACACCGAACAACAGAAATACAAAATATGGATAAAAGAAGCTATAGAGATAAGGAGACGTGGATGTGGGACCATGAACAGGGACGATGAAGTTTACACGTTCGATCGTGCATGGGACTGCATCATCGGAGAGGGGAGAGCGGGCAGCAGAGGGCGACAACGTCCTCTGCTGCCCGCGGATAAACGGAGTAGGAATGACGCCACCATCAGCGTCAGCCTGAGGAAGTTCGCAGCCGCGAACGAAGCAGCAAGGTAAAAAAAGAAACCTTTTCTGTTTTAAAAAAGAACCAACAATGCAGTTGTACATTTTGTTGACTCACTTCCTGTATTCTGTAGAAAGTCTCATTAAATGCAGCTGATTATTCAAAAGAACTTGTTATTTAGCAAATCAGCAACAAAGAACTGATGTGCTGCTGCTGCTTCTACACTTTCCCCTTTTACCCCTTTCTTCCTGTTTCTTCATCTTCACCCTCCTCCTCCTCCCCAGAAGCAGGTCCGCATACAGCTTTGTGATGATGTCCCTGAGCAGCAGGTCGGTGCTCTTGCACCCCCCATCATTTGCATGGGTTGTTCCTAACCGATTGCTATGGCTCTGCTGTGTGCGCCATGCTGCTGATACACAGTGTAACTCCTACAGGTGTGAGCCACGTCTATATGATGGGTCTGAGAATGCATCACACAGTGAGAGGAATTTACTGATATTATCTAGGATATTTGATCAGAATGATAAAGATCTGAGTGAAAGCGTAAAGTTCACAATGTTGATAGAAGAAGGCCAGGTGAGCTTAACTAACAAAAGCGTTGTATTCAGAGTTTGTGATCCTTTAAGTGTGTTTGAATGTTTGAGGTGATCCAAAGTTCTGTACAATCCCAAAACTACGACATTCACAGAAATCATAGAAAATGGTTTGAAAACCCTGCCCCTTTGCTCTAAAACACAGAAAACATCAGCGCAATTTTCTCATCAACAATCAGAAGAAATGGTTAACTAGTGTTTACCAGGCTGCAGTAACAGAATCACATGAGAATGAATCATGAGGCTGTTACTGTGTGTGTTTTAGGTTACCCGGACTTCCTCTGAGAGCATCACTTCTGTCCCAGCATCTAGTGCCTCTGGGTCCCCCAGCAGAGTTATCTATGTGAGAACGAACCACTGTTGCTTCTGAAATCTGGTTTATTTTAGTGAAGGGGCTCCAAAAAGTAGATCATGGGTTTTATTTTCCCCAACAGGCCAAACTGGGAGAGGAGACGTTGGACTACAAGGACCTGGCAGCTCTTCCAAAAACCAAGGCCATCTATAACATCGACCGACCCGACATGCTGTCCTATTCTCCTTATGTCAGCTACCCATCTGAGGAGAGGCACTATGGAGAGGTAGCTTCATCTCCTCGTCTGCCAACCTGATCCTTGGTCCATTTACACATTACTTAAATGTTAATCTGAGTAAGATGTTTGAATACACATTAGAATTCTCCTTGGTGTGTTATGTGCTTTCATAACATCAAGGCCGTAGTGGAGAACGGACAACAGCGTAGATCTGGAGAACACATGAAGGAATGCTGAAGTGATCCTCAAACACAGTTATCAGATGTAGAGAAAATAATGAGTTGGGTTCGTCCCAGATCCCACAGAACAGCCTGTGTTCAGTTTGTTTATCAAGCATTTCCTCAAGTGACACAGTCAGGAGTAAGGACCAAGGCGCAGGCACATGCAGCAGCAGGTAAACTCCCAAATTCTCTCTAATATGAGAAGGACCAAAATGTGATCGATGATCGGAAGATGATTGCAGAGAGGCAACAGGTGAGCTGATTAACTGATGCATGCAAGAGGGAGCTGGAGGAAAAGATTCAGTACTCATCATTTCAGTCCTGATCATCTGTTGGATGGTGATGTTTAGGTCTACGGCGGCTCTGAGTGGTCAAATCAGAGTCAGAAAGGTTTTATTGCCATATATGCAATATTCACAACATTAGGAAATTGCTGCAGTACTTGGTGCAAAAAAAAGATAGAAAAAGATAAGCAAATATAGGAAGTAAGAATATAATCATGATGAAATAATAACACGAAGTGGAGATATTTAGAGAAACGACTACAGTGTAGGCACTAACCAGTCACTGGTGCTAAAACTAAAACATAAAAGTTATTTGTGAAAAGTAGTTCACACACTGGAGCATCAGACGGAATTTGTGAACATGACTGACATGTTATTATGACAGTATATTTACTATGTTTACTGGTAACTAAGCATTGAGCTTTCACAGCAAAACCCAAAGTTGACTCCTTACAGAGACAGTGCCAGGTCAGATTTAGTCTTTTAAAAGTTGTATTAATTTGACTTTTATTTATTCAGACTAAATCTCACTGGGAGAAAAGAAACATATGCTGCATCCTGCCTTTCTCTCCCTCCAACACCCTTCAAAACGCCATTTTATATTTATTCAATTTCTGTTCAATTCTTTCAACCTTTTCATTACTCGTGATGCTGGTGATCCCTCTCATTGCTGAGTGGTAAATTCATATACATCTCCACATATGAGTTGGTCCTAATAATTTGGCTTTCTCCCCGTTTTCATTTGCAGTCCCCCCAGCTGCTTTCTCCTACTCCTACTGAGGTAATGTCTCACTGTGAACGCAGAAAAACACCTAACACCTTTGTGTGTGTGTGTGTGTGTGTGTGTGTGTGTGTGTGTGTTTGATTTTACAGCATGATGGGGTCCACGTGTTGACACTAACCTTTGGGGTCTTCCTTTATTTTGAGAACAAGCTCTTGAATGCAAACAGATTTTTAAACTTTGTTAATGATATTCAGGTTGAGCATAACAGTAGAACGGTGAAGGAGGACGTTTAGAACAGTTTGAAACGTTTCCAATGTGCTTCCAGCTCAACTCTGAATATAAATGTTAGGTATTTAACTGCTTTATTTGTTATCTGATGTTAATGTTAAAGCTATATAATAATCTGTTTAATTTCAGAATGTAATCCTATGAAAATCCAATTGTAAGAGTTATGAAACGGCCCTCACCACCTGTAGATCCTCCACCAGGGGTGGTAGGCATGTACAGAACTGGATAAGACAGGTTTCTGATGAACGTACTAATCCTGATACGCCATCTGGATGCTTTAGGGGGAGACATGGTTTGTGACGATTGTGTACAAGAAGTGAAGATGACAGAAATGTACTTTAAAGATAAGCAAACATCAGAACAACAGAAATCCAGGTTTATTTTGATGAGGCTGTTTTTCAATATCAAAGATAAGGTTGAACAAGTCAAGTAAGAAATTTGTAATCTTCCAATGCCAACAGTAGTTTACTAATTATAATATGTTAGTAAGAGTATATGAGAATGATTTCAAGTTGAAGCTTTAAAGTCTAGAAATCTAGACAGACCTTAGCATAAGCTCAATAATTTTGCTCTGCAGATAGCTGTAGCTATGCTAGCATGCATTTACAGGTCCCGCCACACGTTCCCTCCTTTCACAACGATCAGGAGTTATGTGGGTGTGGCGCTGTGCTATCAGACTAGAGGTGCGTGCTAATTCTTGCTGTTTTTATCATCGTTGTGTTTTACAGGGGAGCCAAAATGCGACCTAAACAGTGCAGTTGGTTTTTAAAACTCCTCTCTTCCTCCGCCATGATCACCCCTGCATCCACGTGACTAATCCGCGAACCGCATGCATGTCGAATTGTAGGGAGAGATCCTTACAGATCCCAAATCAATGATGATCCGCACCCCTAGTATTGTGTCTTGCCAATCACAGTGATTTACTGGTTTGGTGGTTGGGGTGGGGGGGGGGGGGGGGATGCTGCACGAATGTGAAACAACAAGAATGGTGGTTTGTTTGAAATAGCTTTGCCAACAATGTTGGACTACTTAGAACTGGGATTTTCTTTGACTCAGGAGCAGACAGAGGTACATAAGTCCTTCATTTAGAAAAAGAATGTATTTGCGAGTGTAACGGAAAAAGAGATAGACGCATTGGTTGCAGTAGATGCGTTAGACGCGGCGGTGCTGGAGCAAGATGACCTGATCAGACTCGTTCTACAAATATTCACAGGACAGGAACTGAGGACTCTACTCCCTGAGAGACGCTGACTGCAAAAAGCAGCAGAAACAGTAAATAAAAGTCGCATATGATTGAAAGCTGGAGTGTGGTGCTTTCACATCGCCATCTCGACTCGTGTGGTTTATCGTAGATGCAATACCTACTCTGACCTGTGTGGTGCTAAGGAGTTGAATATTTTTACACACTGGGGCCTTAAGCCAGGTTAAAGTATGACATGAACTGTTTCATGGGACAGTAGGCCCCTGGCACTTATAAATGTCTGTGGGTATTTTTCAGCCGTACTTAAATCCAGTTTGTTTAAATGAGAGATGCAAATGTCCTGACATTGTACCTTTACGGAGGTGATCACCTCCAGCCCCCTTGAGTTCATGGTGGGCCCAGTCTCTGATTTGTTTGTGAACCAGACAGTTTGACTTAAAAAAATTTATGTAGCTAATTAGTTTAAGACATTTGAATAACTTTTTTCCCAGTCTGTCTGATTCTGGGCTCACTAAGCACGCTTTCCCTTTGGTTGCTTTCCAATCTAATTAAGGATGAAGCTGCCGCTCCAAGCAACAACACCCAAGCCAAATGAAAACATGTCACTCACTGGCTGGCTCACTCGCTGATTGATAATGATGAAATAACTTAGGTCTTACTCCCTAAGAACCTAATGCTGGCTGCATATTGCAATCCGACCTTTAGGTTTGTTATAAATGTGACTGACGGCCAAAAGAAAAAAGGCAGCAGAATAGTTTTAACTTTGTTTTTTAAGCAGATTGTCTTAACTTGTTATTCCTTTAAAAACTAGAAATGTATTTATTGTTTTTTGATGTAGCTGTTTTACATTAACACCATATCATTAAAAAATCAGTCCTATTCCTTTCTGCTGGTTTAGTGTGTCAATGTAATAAAACCCTGTTTTATAAACAAGTAAATACAACCACAGATAAACAACAGCAAAATCTAATGTATCACTTTACTAATGTTCTTTTTTATTTGGTACACATTTCAGTCTGTTTCAGGCTCCACTTCCCTTTTTTCCAGTTCATGTAATTCCTTTTTGTGTTTTTTTGCAACTTGATTAATTTATTATTTTAGGACTTTTTTTTTTGGAAAAGTAATAATCTCCAAAATCCTGGCTCAATATTTCCATGTGAGACAAAATCTTAGTCTCCTTCCCCCTTTCTCTTTGTTTGTTTATCCAGGGTGATGGGGAGAGGTCACCACGTCAGCGCAGGCCCTCCAGCCCTAGCTCTAGCAGCTCCCTGGGGGGTTTCGGGCGGTACACCCCGTCTCGTTCCCCTCAGAACTACAGCCGAGCAGGTAAACACCACACTCCCTAAGTCACATACTACTAGTGGTTTCTAAACCTCTAAGAAACATGCAGAAACTAAGATTATTTAAACTGATCATTCCTTTTCTAAGGCAGAACATTTTAATTAGATTGGTGGACAGATATAAAACATTATTTACCACCATTGACCAAATTTCAGCCTTGACAAGGAATTCAGAAAAATACTCTTCAGTGATTTTTCATAGTTTTTTTTAGACGTTTCTATGGTTAGAGTTGTGAAATTTAATATCTGAGTGTTTCTCAATACTTTGACCCACAAGTGTATAAACTAGAATATAGGTACAAAAACATCTCAGTCTTTCATCAGGTGACTCCATAGTGATCATTTATAACAAAGCTATAAATTACTACGGACGAATAAAAAAATGATCAAAAACTTAAATATGAGAAGACTCTTATGCCCAAGTCTTTATTATTAAGCCTAATTTTTTAGGAGTAAATAACTGACAAGCCACACGTAAAAGCTTTCATCCGTGACTCGGGATGTTTTATAGGATCTGATTGGACATGTAGGACCAGAGGTGTACCTTGCAGGTAGATCTGGCTGCCTAGCTAGTGACTCCAATTCTCTTTCTGCACCCATAGCCCATCAGGGTGGTGCTAAGTGTCCCTCCACCTCGACCAGGGATCCCTCCTCCCTCCCTGTGTACTTTTCAGCTGGAGCTGAGGGAAGTAGTGGTGGCGTTGGCAAGTACTCGCCCATACCCTCAGGTGGCAGCACAAGCTTGACTTTACAGCTGAACCCCACCACCCTGGCCCTGCTACAGCAACACAACTACATCCCTTATTTCAGAGGTATTAAAGCATGTCGGAGACAAATACAGACAGTGGTGATAAACTGGAATCATTGCTGCTAGTGGGTCAAAAAAAATACGGAAGGGAATCCTTGAACTTTTGTAACAGTACCACAGACCGCGAAACTGTTAAACTGGGTTTGAACAAAGCAGCAACATACCAGTCCACTCTGTTTGAGTCTGCTGTGACCTACCTACCGAATTAACTGCACTTGGCATTGACTGTGGTTAGACACCGAATTAACCGTGTGCTGGAAACTTTTAGTCTGTTGGTCTCTCAGTTCACCACAGCCTTGTGAACCATAATGGAAAACAGAATATCTTTCTTGGTTTGCAGTGTAGATCTGTAGCTTCACTCATCAAGGTTTATGTAGATTAGGAAGCCATGGAGCTGCTCCTGCTGTTCTCATTATCACACATCTCTGAAACCACCATCACAAACCAGACTGTTCAACCCCATTCAGAAAGCTTGTCCAACCGATGGCCCTTGCTTCATCTTCTCTTCGTTCCTTCATTTCCCCCACCCATCAGGGTTCAGTCCGGACCCTCTACCTGATCCTAAACCTAGGACAGCCCTGCACCTCAATTTACCACCTCCTAACGGTAAAGACAGAAGACTGTTTTTGTTTATTTCTCCCCTCTCCCCAATGGAATGGTTAGGAGGTTTTGTGATGTTGTTGTCTGGTATTGTGGTGTTGTTGGGTTTCATGGGATGCATCAAGGTATATTCATAGGACCACTGGGTTTCCTCCTTGTGCTTGCCCTGTTCACTTGTGTTTGTGGTTGTGGTGCATGGTTTAACTTGGCATAGAACTAAGCGTGATGCTGATCCATTGTAAGGTTATTTCATGCTTGTTTGTTCAGATTGCTGACCCAGTATTTTGCCTGCCTTTACACCATAAATACTCTGTGGTATTCCCTGAATGATAGCTAGTTTCATGTCTTGTGTCAGACTGTATTTGGTGGTGTTTTAGTACTTAATGTCAGAAACAATATTTGTATGTTTACAATGACTGATGAATAGATACATGAAGGACAATCACTGTTTCTGTTGAAAAAGGAACCACATTAAAACACATACCGTATTTTCCAAACTATAAGTCAACTTTTTTTCATAGTCTGGCTGGTCCTGCGACTTATACTTCGGAGCGACTTATATACCAAATTATGTAGGCTATACCGCGCTGCTGCGGGCTGGCTCCGGTCCAGGTTTCAGCACCTCTGCCCCGCTGGGAGGGTTTCAAACACCGCCATCACCTACTGCGGCCTGTGGCGGGGTGCTGTGGGCCGGCTCCGGCCCAGGAATGAGCTCTCCCCACCCGCTGGGAGAGTTTGAAACACTGCCATCCTCTGCTGGAGACGGTGGTGCGCTGCTGCACCCTGGTTGTTTATTCTGTTATTGTTACCGGTACTTGTCTTGCAATGTGAAATGCTTGGTCTCAGATTTTGTAAGAAAAATAATAAAATCTCCCCCCAAAATGCGACTTATACTCCAGAGCGACTTATAGTCCGGAAAATGCGGTAACTACATGGTAAAATAATACAAATGGACATAATTTTTCAGATTTTAACAGGTAAGTCTTATTTATTCTTTCATGTCAGAGTTTCAAATTAAATTATGTTGAGAAACAATTGAAGTATAGTTGTTTAGGTCAAACTTTGTGCAAAGCTACTTAAAATCTTAAGATCTCTTGCACACTGATAGCCCTCTGAATGTGTGCTAGTCGTACCTTGGTGTCCTGCTGCCAAGCTAACGTGATGACGCTGATCAGAAGTCAGAGCTAAATTTTGCTGCAATACTGGACCTGCCATAGGGAGCCTTAGTCACACCCATCTACTTCCAGACCATGGGTCCCCGGAAGAACAAAAAAATGAATGCAAGTCAACGGGGCTAAAAATGCTTTTTTCTATTTCAGCTTGTTATATGTCATGGATTTCACATATGATGTCCGTGAATTTTAAAGACTGTGCTTATTTTCGAGGGGGGAAACGCTATATTAGGTTTTGGTTAGGTTAGGTGTGAAAGTAAGTCCAGGGCTTCAAATGCGCTTCACGAAAGTGACGTCATCGAACCAAACAGAAAACTGAGGGAAAATGGCTGTAAGGTCAGCAAACTTCCCACAGGAGGAGAGAACCACCGTAAATCTGGTCATGTGGTAAGTAGCAGCTACTTTGGGGAGAGGAGATTATGTGGTGACGTCATATGTGCGACGTGCCGATTTCTAGTTTGTAGTCATGCTAATTACGAACTTTTACAAGGTGATAAATCTCAAAGTACATGATTGGCGTGGTCGAAACACCCATCATTACTTTACATTTAAACTGCCGTAAAACAATATGTGCGATTCAGGGCATAAGGCAAAGCAGATTAGAAAATAGCGTCTTTAGCCCCATTGACTTGTATTCATTTTTTCGTTGCTGATGTCTTTCCAAAACGTATGTATGAAAGCCGAGTAGATTTGCAGTAATGTGACGTCATCTGCAGTCGAAGGACCCCGAGCCGATCCTGCACCCGAGCAGATCCTGCACCGACACCGGCAGTGTTGAGAGGAGACGGAGAGTACTGACTGTTCATGCTCTCCAGGCAGCTGTGTCCCACACACGGCATGTCACTCTTAAAATCACGCCACCCAAAAAATGTAATAACGCGATTGTTCATGTCCGCTCAAATTCTCTGGCACTTCCTGTCTTTTATTCATACCTGACCCTGCTTCACCGAGTTCAGAACCTGTGCTCTGGTGACTTCACGCACTGCGTACTCGGCTTTTTTTCGTGCGATATTCTTAAATCAAAAGTTGCTCATGAGGTGAAGAAGTAGGATATTCCGTAAGCAGTTTTTCTGAAGGACCTAGAGGAAATGCAGTAAGATAAGAGACAGACAGGTCAGGAAAACAGTCAAAAAAAAAGAACAAATCAAAGTGCTCGAGAAGGAAAAAGTAAGTAGATTCAACCCCGCTAAAGCTTTTAAATGTAAAACACAATACTTAGCATGTAATTTTCATATACTGGATACAATTCAGATTACCTTCAAAGCTCAGTCCTACTCCCATGGCTGTTGCTAGGCATTCAGGGGCCAAGGCAAAGTAGACTTGGTTCCTGCAAGCTACAAGCTGGAGGTCTTGAAGTCTATACTCAAGGAAATGCAAACATTTCATGTCATAAAGGCGTCTGTTTGTGCCCAGCTCACGTCTGCCTTCGTCTGAAACGCTGTCTTTGGCTTCACTATTCTGTTGTTTCTTCATTTCAACCTTAGCCTTCAGACAGACCGTCCCACATTTGACTCGACTGCAAACCATCAACCCTCCACATTCATGCTGACAGTTGTTATGAGCTATCCCCCCCCCCCCCCCCCCCCCCAACTTTGCACTTTAATAAAGACCAAACACCCTCCACTACACAGAAGTTTAACATACCTGATTTATCTTCATACTTTGGCATTTTTAAAATAAAATGAGCAGATTTCACCTCACAAAAAGACTTAAATATGTGTGGCAGTTCTGTTTTTAGCAAATCCTCTAGTTATTTATTTTTTGGGGGGGAAAGAAATGAAAGTTAATGTAAATGAATGGAGTGTATATGGGTTTTTGGTGTTTTTTTTCCATAACAGACTGGATAAGTTGTGTCACTAGTCCTTTAGAGGTGAGGAGTGTAGGGATGCAGCAGACCAAAGGGGCCAGTCTGCAGTTGGGTGTGTGCTTGCTAGCTGCAGTGGTATGCAACAGAGTATGACCTCACTGTTCATTTTTGCATCAGGATCTTTAGACGTTACCGTTGAGTTAAGATTCTCATACAGGTCCAGTGAAAATCATATTCACTTGTTTTCTGGATAAAGAATGTTCTCATCATTGCATAATGTGCACAGATAAATCCCTTTTCCCCCGTGTGTGTGTGTGTGTGTGTGTGTGTGTGTGTGTGTGTGTGTTTGTGTGTGTGCGTGAGCGCACACGTATGTGTTTTAGTATATGCATATGTATCATTGAGTCTTGCAGACCTGCTCAGTTGTTCTGTGTGGGTCGGTGATCTCATCCTCTTGCATCCAGATTGCTGCACATGGTTCTTGTCTCTGGGGGGGGGAGGGGTGGGGGGTAATCAGATAACACGCAATCTCTCTGTGTTTCTTACCCCAAACTCTGGATCCGAGTGTTTATCACTTTTGGCAGTGAGGGTGTCAGTGACTCATCACCCAGTCTTTCTGTGATGAAACAGTAAGGTGGATCCTAGTTTTTGTCCCAGACACCAACAGACTAAGTGGTTTGACTCTCAGTGGTAATGGCTGATGTGTGATGAAGGCTAAGAGATCATTCACCTCCCCCTCCAGCTCCTAAAAGACCCCAACAACCCCCAGATTGATGAGAAAGCTTTTGTAATAATGAAGACATCCCTACTGTAATACAGCCCAGTCCTCCACACTCTCTACTGATGAAACTTGAAGAAAACTTATGGAATTCAAGAGGCGATTTGCTGAATTAAAAAAATAATCTTTTTAGTTTGAATCATTGTGTTGCACACGTTGACCTCCTTCTTTATGCTGATTTACAAAGTAAAGATCCGTACCAGTCCATCCACACCAGATCCCACCTTGGAACCAACTGGTGCTGGGTCCAATGGTCCTGCTTGCATTACCCAGTTTGCCCTCTAACCTCTACTTGGTTTACATGCATGTAGATATATAACTGTGGTAATGTAGTCGATGAAGGAAGTGATATTTACACGTAATAGACATAATAAATCAAATCACTGGCAAAATAATTATAATTAGATCTTCTTATGTGAGCTACCTTAACATTCTCTGTTTGTCCTGCACCCCCTCCCCTTTTGGCCCCATCTCTAACTCTGGAGGAAGTGAAAGTGGTCGAAGTACCCCCAGCTTGTCCACCTACTCAGACGGAAAATCACCCTCATCTGCTTCTACATACGTGGCTGCTCCACGCCATTTCCACATACCAGGTAGGCCATGGCATCTCTGCTCACAGCTCAGCTCGTTGGGCCTTTTCAGTGTCTTTGTGCGTTCTGTTACCAAGACGGGCATGAAAGGTGACAAATGTGGAGGCGACTTAGAGGGTAAGCTGTGAGGTCATTTTCAAACAAGCTTTCGGTGCAGATTTTCTAAACAAAAGTGCATCATTTAAAGCTGCCCCTGTGGCTCCAGTTAATTGCAAACTGAAGCAAAACAAAGCAAAATGTTTCTTTGCTTTTACAGGAAGTTTTTTAAAATTCCAGTCATGATCCCACTGGGCTCTCGCTGGTGGTGATAAATTGTGAAATAAATTCATATGGCAGTTTCCAAATGATCTCAATCCATTTACAATTTCCTTGCGTGGGATGCACGACCTCAATCTTGTGCAGCTGGAATTTTAAAGGTTAAAAGAACTGTGAGACAAAGTAGTAACAGAGCCATCCAAGGCATCTGGGATGCTTCTTATGATAGGAAGTGGATTATTATGAAACCAAGTGGTGATTAGAGATGAAACGACCAATTTTAAGCTCAGACCACACTGTGCGTTTCTCAGCCGTAGCACAAGGTTGCTCATGTCACACTGTACGGGCTCTAGAAAGGTGGTCCAACTATCAGAGAGCCAAACTGCACAACGTCTCACTAGCAGGACATGCTAATGTCACGCGCGCCTGAAAAGCACACGTCACTAAAAGCCGACAGCTAATCAAAACAACTATGCTGAAAGAAGAAAACTGCGCTGCCGTTAACAATCAATCAAATCAAAGATACTTTATTAATCCCAGAGGGAAATTAGAGTTTCAGTACACACAATTCAGAGATCAGACATACATGGGCAAGACACATGACAAGAATTGGTGACTGTGGTCATTCGCAACCCTGAGTTGCGCTACCTTAATAGAGAGAAGAGGGTTACACGAGGAATTGATTCGGGAGGACGGAAAAAAAGGCACTTCAAAGCTACTCTCCCACCAGGAGGGCAGCTTTCCTCTGCAAAAAAAACACCTCAAACAGATATGCAACAGACAACACAACTGGGATCCTGGCTGGGATCCTGTTTCCCCAGCAAGGGCAGCCATCTACAGCGCTCAGCCACTGTAGTCACAGGTGGGAGGGAGATCTCGGGAGAAGCGCAGAGCACATTGACTCCTGCAGGTTGATGACCTCGCCAGGCTGAAGTCCACCAATCCGGGGGGGTGTAGGTCGGGTTTTCACAGCATCTGTCTGCATTCCTTCGTGGGGATTTGTTGCTAGCCTCTCAAGGCTACCAGGGCGTCAGATTCGGGTAACAAGACTTTGTTTGGGTCAGGCTGAGATATTTGCCTCTCTGCCTTCAGTCTTTAAACTGATCATTCCAGTCCTTCAGTGAAGCCAATTTGGGTTTTTAAACTTATCCATACCATCCAGCGACCCTCACCGAGATGACATCCATTTTGCGCACTAATACCGGTGTCGCAGCTAGAACATTGTCCAGCTTACGATTCACCTCGACTAACGTCCCAGTCTGTGAAGTCTCCACACGGACGGTGCTTTCCGTGGGTGCGGGTCGCCCTCCAATCGCTCCCGTCTTCCCAAATTTCCAGAAAACCAGATATCCTCCCACTCCAATCAGGAGAAATCCAGTGATCATCAGGCTGATTATCCACACGTCTTCGATATCCTCAATGGACAGCTGGGAGAGGCATATGATCTTCCACTCCTTCCAGGAATCCTGCATATATCCCACCGGGGGTGTCCCCTGTGGACATGTGGGAGCCCTCTGCTCCGTTCTCATTGTTGAAAAAATCTTATCAATCATGTTGAATGACCAATTTATCAAATCCATGGTTAAAAATAGGGTTTTTCAGAAAAAATGCAGAGAAGCGCTCTGTGGGCAGACAGGACAAAGAGCCTTGGGGCAAAAAGATAAGGGAGCAAAAAGAGAAGCGTCTGTACTCTGCGAGTGCCTTGAAGAAGAAGAACACTTCTTTTATTGCTCTGACTCAGTCTGTGAATAATTTATATTTTTTTGGTGGAGCGCATTTTAACAGGTGTGCCAAAAAGAGCATTTCTGGCGAGATTTGCACACCCGGATAGTTCATATGAGTAACGAGGCAGCTTTTGGATACATTTCTTAACAGAATTGTAAATCACCCTCACGTTCGCAATTTTAATCATGATTATGAGAGATGTGTGTAGAACGGCCAAAAAACGCACCGTGTGGTCCAGGCTTTATTTGACTAATCGGACAATGCCAAAGCCACTCCAGCTCCTTTTAATGAGGAGGCGCAGCGGCTCTAGTTGGAGCTCCATCTAGAGGATAGAGCTCCTCGCCTCTAAGTTCGTACTTGACCTCCTTATGGAGGAGGCTGATTTTGGATACTGATATCCCTAGATGTGGCTGATTAAAACAGCAGATAAGATGAGTGGCAAAATTAAGATGAAATGAAGAAAAATTGCAAATAAATTTGAACACCCAATAAGAGTCTAAAGTGACCGAATGTCTTTAAAAGAGACTTGGACAAAAGCGTGAAAGTTGCACACAAATGTTGATTTACACCAAAAAAGAGAAGATTTTCCTTCAATTTCAAAGTTGCAGCCCTGCGAGATGTTGAACCTTCAGTGTAGACTCAAACATGTCCTTGTGCTGCTACAGTTGGCCCTTTGTGTCCAGCCTTTAGATTATTATCTGTTTTCTGGACTCCTTTATTCTCCAGTCCCGGGTGTGTTCACTGACTCACACCAAGTCCTCTGTAAGAGCCGTGAGCTGTCAGAAGACGTCACCGCTTAGAACGAAGCTGTGATCCATCTGGTCAGGAGCCAAAGTTAAACACTGTCCTTTATTACTCTGTGTTTGATTCAGCATGTTGCTCCCATCCACTAAAACACTTTCAGTCATGCGATGGGGACGAAAAGGCCTCATGTTGGAAGTGAATTAAGTGGAGAAAACAGCCAACGATTATCCACTTAATGGGTTTCGTAGTCTTTGTCTTCACTGCTTTGTGTGAATGTGTTTCAGACGCAGCCAGCCTCTGATTCAAGCCTGATAAATGACAAGAGTGTTGTTTTATTGTGCGCCGTGTTTCTTTTCTGTCTTAATGTGCAACAGTTGGTATCTTGGTCCGAGGCCCGTGAGGGCCGTCTGATAATAAGATGAGGGGAAAAACATGTCAGCCTCCTTCTATGGAGACACTTCCTCCAGCATTACATAAGTGTGATGCTGATATTAACATTATTACTCAGGGAACGGTTTTACCATGAATTAAATAACCTCCCTCTATAAACTCTGACTGTGTTGCATGGACACAATTAAATGTGGATTTTTCTGATGTGATATAATTAAAAATGACAAATGTCTTGAATTTAACTGACCTGTACTGCCCCTCCCTGTTTGCTCCAAGAAACCTCATCATTCAGTAAACTGCTAACTCATGCCTCTCTTTCTCCATTCCCTCTCCCTCTCTCTCTCCTCTGCCCATCTTGGCTTCTTCCATTTCCGCTGCTCTGTTCCCATCTTCAGAGACTATGGTCAAAGATAATATCTATAGAAAACCCCCCATCTACAGACAGCATGGTACAGTCCACTTCCTGTTTAACACCTCCTCCTCTGGTCTGGTCTCTGCATGATGTGTTGCATGGTGTCTGTCAAACATCTCATGTTCCTCTGGTTTCCTTTCTTCCACTAGACAATCCATCCACGAGCTGAGAGCTGGTGTAGCGTGCTGCACGTGTGCGTTTTATAAAATAGAAAAGTTGTTGACAGTAAATAAGTCTAAATAGATTTTCAAACCAAACAGTTTGATCAAAATTTAACTCATTCACTGCCAGCCGCTACCTGAACAGAAAGCCCCTGACTGCCAGAGTTTTTTAACGTTTTTACTGTTTTTTTTAAAGAGTCTCAAAACATCGACTCTCCAAAACTACCAAACGAAAGAGCAGACTCACGTCTTACGTCAGGAAGAACCAGCATGTTTCTAGCTTTTTATGTTCTTCACAATCCATGGTGAAAGTGCGTGCTGCAGAAGCTTGTCCGGTTTTCGCCTCGCTTTAGGCATAGCGGCGTCCCAAAACGACCTTCTAATACGTGGATTGTCTGCTTCATGATCACGACGTGTTCATGACGCGTGACCCACAACGTTCGAGCTACGATGTTTCTTCTCAAGGTGCGCAAGCTCGTTCCCAAGCCGTCCCGTTTAAAAACGCAGTTGACAACAAGTCAGCAATGGCAGTGAATGAGTTAGACGATGTTCATTTAAAGTGACGGTAATGGTGTGTTTACAGTGAAATCACCTGACCTGTTGGGATCTGACGTCACTCGGAGTCTCTGACTCTCAGCTGCCTTCGCATCAATTTGTACCTCCCATAAAACTGACTTCGTTAGAGCCTTTTTTGCATTTGCTGATGTAGATTAGCTGTGGCGGCGATCTTAAATTGGGCTGATTGTAAATATTGTAGACGTTCATTCAATGAAGACTGTCTGAGCGGTTCTGCATTAACATTTAGTTACAGACAAACAAATAAACACAGAGACACTAAAGTATGACCCTCCTCTGACAGCAGCTGCACTTGAAATGACCTGACACGGCGCATTTTATGGACCTCAACGGGCCTTCAGTTCAAGCTGACAACCTCAGGTCTCAGGCACCAATCTGTGAGAACTCACTGGAGCGATAATCTCTTTAGAGCATGGGTGGGCCACTCTCTTCCTCGAGGGCTGCTATCCAGCATGTTTTAGGTGTTTCCCTGCTTCAACACACCTGGTTAACCTGTTCAGCAGCATATCAGACCCTGCAGAACCCTGTTAATCACCTGCTGATTAAAATCAGGTGTGTTTAAGCAAGGAAACAACTAAAACATGCTGGACAGTGGCCCTCGAAGAAGAGAGCAGCCCACCCACGCTTTAAAGTGCATTGCTTAAACAAATCATGTCAGATCTGAGTATAAAGATAGCAGGTTTGCACATCATGTCCATTCTCTTCTCCCAAACTAGCTGTGATAAACCAACCAGTTTGGGACGGGAGTGGAGTTTTCAAGGCACCCTTTGCTCACCCTGGTCATGCATGCCTGCATTCATCTCACCAGCTCATTTTACATAATTTTTAGTGATGTTGCTGTCACCTTGTGCACCGTGTGCATCGTTTGGGTACATGAATCACTCCGTTTGGTGTTGTTAGTGTAGTATTGGTCGCTGTTTCAGTCACTGTGTCCCTTTCCTGATGAGTGTGTTTAAACTAACTGCAGGACCTTAATCCCTGGAGCAGAAACTTAAGCCTGCACATGAAGGAGGAACCATAATTGCATGACTGTTGGAGTCAACAACCCTCCTGATGAGATAATAAGTGCAGGTTTCTTTGGTAAAGAAGGCTTTAGTTGTCTTAGTAAGTGAGCACCAGTTTAGAAACACTATGGTGGTTTTCTTGAACTGTGCATGAGTGTCTCCATCTACAGCTGGTGAATCCTGCCCCGGGGCTGGTTTAGCGCGAGTGCAGCTAACAGGCAGGTGATCCAGTGCATTTCCTATGACCTCATGTAACATCTGACTGTTTTACAGCTTCTAGAACATCCTGGCAGGATGGTGATGATAGCAAGGTGGGTCCATGTGGTCTGTGCCGTTTCAAGTCACTCTCTGAAGCACAGCAAATACTATAAATTCATCCACTAATTCACTAATTCATCATTTCATTCATCACATCTTTCCATTATTCTGTCCTTGCTTTTCCTCTCTCTCCCTCGACCTTCTCCCTGTAGAGGACTAGTTGGATGATCTTGAAGGGTGAGATTGATGGTCAGATGGCTCCAGAAGATCTGGATCCCCGCAAATCCACCTGCAGTTTGCCCACTGACACTTCCCAGCCTAGTGAGTAACTGTCCACAAGCTCACCTAACTGTCAAGTATCTGGGAGTCATCATTGATGAAAAACTGTCATGGAAACTACATATAAACAGTGTCAAAACTAAAATATCTAAAACGATTGCACTGTTACATAGAGCAAAAGGGTTGCTTGATAATAATTCATTATATTTGTTATATAACTCACTGATCGTACCATACCTGAACTACTGCATTGAAATCTGGGGAACAACATATAAAACTTACACAAATTCCATTTACATCTTACAGAAAAAAGCAATAAGAATAATCACAAGGAGCAACTACAGAGATCCGTCCAATCCATTATTTATTAAATTAAAAACACTAAAATTCTATGATCTGGTGGACTACAATATTTTAAAATTTATGTATAATGCAAACAAAAGGAACGTACCTGCAGGATTAATTAAACGATTTTCAAAAAGACATAGCAAATATGATTTAAAGGGACATGAATTATTTAATATACCTAGACATCGGATACTCGTAAAGGAACATTGTGTCTCCATATATGGAGTTAAATTGTGGAATAAATTGAATACTGAACTCAAGAATGCAAAAACAATATTGACTTTCAAAAAAGAGATAAAAAATAAAACAATTAACTTATATAGATCCGTTACATAAATGTGTGAGGGGAGGGGGGTGGGGGGGATTAAAGGAACAAAATATTAACCTAGTATGTGCTTGTATGTGTATATATGTATGTATATAGATCTGTAACTTAATGCTTCTTTCTGTGTAACTTGTTTTCTTTTTCTATTTTTTTCTCAAATTCATGGGTTGAGATTTTGTCGGCCAACAGGTCCAGGAACTATATTGTTCAATTTCCTTAAGAGTCATATGATTATTTCATTTGTATTAATGCTATTTTAGTTAAAAGGGGCAGACAACATAAGTTTTTCTTCTTTCTGTCCCCTTTTTCATTTTGGCTTGCAGCAATTTAGTTCTGATTGTATTTTTATTTTAATGTCAATAAATGAAAATAAAAGATTAAAAAAAAAAAAAAAAACCTAATGAATCATTACAAAATCAAACAAATAAAATGCTTATCTTTGCATCTCTGTAGATTTCCCCTACAACAAGTCTGCTTCTCTACCCGGCTACGGAAGGAACGGCATCTACAAGGTGAGTGGGGAACGTTTGCGATTCCTACAAATATCTAAAGTTAAGTTAAAGTATGTATACACACACACACACACACACACACACACACACACACACACACACACACACACACACACACACACACACACACGTGGTGAAAATTTACCTCCACATTCCCATTCCCATGTGGAGGCGGTGAGCTGCAGATGCAGCCATGCTCGGGAACCATTTGTTGTTTAACCCCCCCCAATCCAACCCCTTACAGCTGAGCGTTAAGCAGGGAGGCATTGGGTCCCTTTTTTTTCAGTCTTTGGTATGACCCGACAGGGATTTGAACCCTGATCGTCCCAGGGCGGACACTTTACCACTAGGCCACTGAACTGCTTTTTGAAGCTCAGATCAGACCAGTTTTATTCAGCTTAAAGAAAGTGTGTGACAATCCTTTGTCTTCGTGGTTTCGTACCGCAGACACTGATTCATGATGAGAAACCAGAGTTTTATAAATGTGTCAGTTGTGTAACAACCAGCAAACTACTGGCAGAAGCACGGTGATAATCACAGCTTTCTTTGGTTTGGAGTTCCTTGTAAAATGAGTGAATCTGTTTCTGGAGCATGGAACATTAATAAACGTTAGATCCCTGCACTGGTTACCAGTAAACTACAGAATCAATTTCAAAGTGCTTCTACTAGTTTATAAATCACTCAATGGCATGTGGCCAGAATACATGTCAGATCTCCTTTAGGTATCTATGCCCAGCAGGTCTCCGAGGTCCTTAGTAAACAGTCACCTGGTAGAACCTCGGGTCAGAACCAAACAGGGTGAAGCTGCTTTTAGCCACTATGCTGCAAACAGATGGAATCAGCTTCCTCATGACCTCAAATGTGCCCCAACTCTAGTAACTCTTAAATGAAAATTTTAATCCTTCATGTTTTCATCAGCCTTTAAATGACTGTTTTTCATGCTGCACCTTCTGCACTGTAACTGCTCACCCTTTAACTTTGCCTTATTCAACTGAATTTTTGTCACACCCTGTCCTGTCTCCCCATTCTGTTCAGTCCTGTGTCCATGTTAATTGCTCCCACCTGCCTCTCGTCTCCCAATCACCCAAGGTCCCAGCTCCTCCTGGATTTAAACCCTGTTAGTCCATTTTGTCTGGTTGGTTCATTGTTTCATTGTCCTGCGTGCTCTCCTCATTAAAGACTGTTACTCGTTCCAGTTTGTCTGCCTGCCTGCTTCCCTCACCCGCATGTGGATCCTGGTATCTGCCTCACTCACCGGCACGTTGTGACAAATTAGATCTAAATTTATTTATGTATTTTAATTGTGTGTTTACTTTACTTTAATGTTTGAGCTATTCTCACTAATAGAAAGCACACTGAATTGCCTCTGTATATATGTATGACATTTCCCATGTATAGCTGCCTTGCCTAACATCTGCAGAAGCCTCAGAAGGCCTTTTGGATGTCACTGAGCTAGGCTGGTAACTTGGGGGTTGCACGGGTATTTTGTGTCAAAAGGTCTCACCTGGGCCCTCATTTAACAAAAGTTTGTAGAAACTGTCCTCTATTTTCCTTTCTACGAATGAAATTTAGAATGTTCGAGAAAACAGTCGAAATCCTGATTTATGAAACAAGCGGTGGCCTCTCTTACGTATGCTCCTCCACAATTGTTTGATGATAAATCCCACCTGTGTGTACCCAGTTGCTTATCTCCATTCTCAGTCATTTATATACAGAAACGCCCTCAATCAACCATATTTGGTCACGCTACATCCTCAGCATGTGAAGGAATTTCCTGCGTTTTTCCCCCCAAAAAACTTTCTTGACAGCGAGGTCAAGACACTGGCTGCCAAAGTGCAAAAGAAACAAACAAATTGCAGAGGTTATAAACGAGGACAGAGGAGTGGTTACCATCAGGAAGAAATAAAACAATTAATATGGTAAATCGTAGAGTAAAGGGTTGTAATTTACAATTTACATTTAAAGAGTCGTTCTGTTTGGAGTTAGTCATGTTTGGAAATGTTGTCTGAGAGTGCAGCTTCTTCTGAGCTGTCATTCAGTTTGGTTACCTTGACAACAGGGAGCGGGAGCAGATGAGGTTCTGGGGGGGTTCTCGTAGTTGTGAAATAAAATGTGAACTGGAATCGGATTTGTGTGGTATATCTGTCTCTCCACAAAGGGTTCGAATAAATTCAGTTCAATTCATTTTATTATATAGCGCCAAATCGCGACAAGAGTTGTCTCAAGGAACTTCACACAGTAAACATTCCAATTAGGTTCAGTTCATTAAGCCAATCAGCAAAAAGTTTCCTAGGAACTGGGCAGATTGCAGTCAGAGTCTTTACAGCAATCCTCATACTAAGCAAGCATGCAGCGACAGTGGAGAGGAAAACTCCCTTTTAACAGGAGGAAAGCCCCAGAGGATCCTGGCTCAGTATAAGCAGCCATCTGTAGTGTGGAAAGTGGTCAGTATGTCCTCCAGCAGTCTAAGCCTATAGCAGCATAACTACAGAGATAACTCTGGATAACCTAGCCTTTCAGATGGAGGCATGTTGGAGGCAGGGCAAGGGAGAGTCGTCTTTACTGACTGTACACTCCACCTCCCTCTAGTTCCCCACTTGTCCAGGTCTGGGCTAACATCAGATTTTAATCATAGGCCCTATCAAATAAAAATGTTTTAAACCTAGTCTTAAAAGTAGACAAGGTGTCTACCTCACGGATTAAAGCTTGGAGCTGGTTCCACAGAGAGGAGCCTGATAGCTTAAAGATCTGCCTCCCATCCTAATTTTAGATATTTTGGGAATCACCAGTAAACCTGCACAACATAGCTTCAGAAGATCTCCTTCAGGGAAATCAGTATGCTCATGGAGGACGCGTTTGTGGACTTCAGCTCTGCATTCAACACCATCATACCTGCTCGTTCAGCTCAACGTACCTGACTCCACCTGCAGGTGGATCACTGACTTCCTGACAATAGACAATCCTTGCGGCTGGGGAAGTCCGCATAGGACTTCAAAACTACCAACACAGGAGCTCCACAGGGCTGTGTGCTATCTCCACTGTTCTTCTCTCTCTACACCAACTGCTGCACCTCCAGCCACGACTCCATCAAACTGATTAAGTTTGCGGATAACACCACCCTCATCAGGCTCATCACGGATGGTGATGAGCCTGCAGCCTGCATATAGGAGGGAGGTGGACCAGCTGGTGTCCTGCTGCAGTAACAATAACCTGGCGCTTAACACACAGAAGACAGTAGAGTTGATGGTGGACTTCAGGAAAGTGAAAAAAAATTAAAAATGATTAACACCAAATGAAGAGTAAAACTTGTGATTACAAAATAACACAAAATCAGCCATTCTACAATGTCAGATTTGCGTCGGTCATGGGCATTTTAGCACCAATAATGTGACACAGCTGTTTTTCCACCAAAATTATTATTTATTGGGGTAGAATAATTTGTGGATGAGGAACATGTGGACGACTGAGACCTTTAGTGTTGCTGCTCCCCCGTTCTACCACTAGATGCTGTTCATACGCATGGTCACAGCTGTTCTTATATTTAGGAACATTTCTACGCATAAGTACAAATTCCCCCTCCCCTCAGGTCAAGAGTCTGGGTGTCATCCTCAACAGCTCACTTTCTTTTCAAGCTCACATTAATAACATAATTCGGTCAGCATACTTCCATCTACATTCCATAAACCATCTTCGCCCCTCCCTTACCCCTCACACTGCCGACATTCTCATCCACAGCCTCGTCACCTCCCGTCTCGACTATTGCAATTCACTTCTTTATGGTCTCCCCAACAAACTCCTTTATAAACTGCAACTGGTCCAGAATTCAGCAGCCCGTATTATCACCAAAACCCCTTCCTTTCACCACATCACCCCGGTTCTCCAACAGCTTCACTGGCTCCCAGTTAAATTCAGGTCCATTTTCAAAATTCTCCTCCATACCTTCCTCCATATATCTCAGACCTTATAAGTATTAACACCCCCTCCCGTTCTCGCAGATCTTCTTCTTCCACCCATCTTGCGGTTCCTTCTGCCCGTCTCACTACCATGGGGAGCAGAGCTTTCAGCCGCTCTGCTCCCCGTCTCTGGAACTCACTCCCCCCAGACATCAGGAACATCGACAGTTTTACCCTTTTCAAAACCTAACTCAAAACACATATGTTTAAATCTGCCTATGACCTCTGATTTTATTGAACTGTTTCTCTATTTGTTTTTTCTTCTTTGCATTTTATTGTGGTTTTATTGTTGTTTTAATGTATTTTCTGACCGTATTTTCTGTCAAGTGACCTTGGGTGTTCTGAAAGGCGCTTTTAAATAACATGTATTATTATTATAAATTGGTAAATACTACATGCGTGAAATCGTTCCTACGCACGAACTATGCACAGATCTGTTTGTAAGTAGGATTGATAAATGAGGGCCCTGGTGTTTCGGACCACCTAGTGGTGGTCATAGGCGTCATTTTAACCGGGGACGCCGGGGACATGTCCCCGGCAAAATTTGTGATCGGTAGCTGTGTCCCCCCCACTTTCAAAAACGCCTGCTGATGAGGATTTTTGTTTTACCAGCTCAGATCTTATACCAGGGGTCGGCAACCTATTCCCATCAAAGAGCCATTATTACCCGTTTCCCACGGTAATTTTGGACGGACCTTAATAAGCAGTGACTTAAGTGAAGCAGGGAGGTCGCGCTAGAAAATTTAGTTTAAAAAGACATCATAAATGTGTTCCCCCGTCCTTTTTATTTATAAAATATGAAGTAAAAACTCACAATTTAATTTTCATTAATTTGTCATTAATATGTAGTCTACACCCGTGCGTTAAGTGGACCATCTTCCAGTAAACGCAAAGCATCCAGCCCACCTCTCCAAATGCGTAAAATGTGCATCAGCCGCTAGTTAGGTGCGTCGCGCGCACCGTCAGCTGATCAGCCCAGACGAGAGCAGAGCGACTAGAGAAAGAATAGAGGATAATTGTGTCTGGATGTGGATGGAGATTACATTTTACAGCAGCCTGATCATCATTTAAATACGTAAACCATCACCTGGCTTCTAGTCCACGCTATCAGCATTATTCTAATTGGTGTGTGTGTGTGTGTGTGTGTGTGTGTGTGTGTGTGTGTGTGTGTGTGTGTGTGTGTGTGTGTGTGTGTGTGTGTGTGTGTGTGTGTTTTCCACTTCAAACACTGGTCTAACCAACCAGACCAGCGTGTCCAGTAACGTAGTAATGTTACAATTAAACTGTTTCCCTTCATGTAGGCTAGGAACGTTTCACCTGCCGTGGCCCGACCGCTTCTGCTCCACATAAACTTTGTGCGTGATCAAATGTCTCTACGCGTCATGCGTCTCCATATTAGAGACGGGAACAAGCGCTGTTCAGCCAAAGTTTCATAATTTCATAAAAAGAACATTTTTCCAAGTGACACATCCCTCAGAGAGACCGGGTTTCCAGACTGTTTCAGTGGGAGGAAATCATCGCATGCACCGTGGTTCTGCGCTGCGAACCCCTCAGTTCTTCAGCTCACTGTCCACCGTGGGCGCTCCGAGCCACGCTGAACACAGTGTCCAGTATAAAGCTCTGGTGTTCTGATGGGAATATTTTACCTCCGCGATGTGCGTCAACGATTAAAATGTCAGCTCATCCATGTGCATCAGTGTGCGTCGGGGTAATTCTTTCAAACCAAGCAACATCCTTGAGTTCATCTGTCAAAATAAACAGTCAAATGGAAATATCTGTAACCTGCCGTTTAACTGTTTTGCCTTCCTGTGAAGATTGTTGCAAAGAGAAACAATTAAACTTGATTAACCCCAGAGCCACCCAGAGCGCATGTGGGAAGGTTCCTCCCACTGAAGCGAGTGTTTTCCAAACCCTGTCTCTCAGAGAGACTTGTCACTTAGAAAATGTTCCCTGATGATGAAACTTTGGCTGAATAGCGCTTGTTCCTGTCTCCAATGTGGCGACACATCCAGGAGCCGTCTGAGGAGAATCCCAGAATCTTACATCCTCTTCAGCTCATAAAGCGCCTATATGATTACGCACAAGCGTGACGCGTCAACCCGGTCTCACAGTAAGACCGGGTTGGACCTGTTCAGGTTTACGCAGACAATCTTTACATGTAGAATTAGCATACAGATGTAAAATTAATGCAGTAAAATATAAAGCATTTTATTTAAATATCCATTCATTATTTTACAAACACAGAGAGCCGGATGGAAGAGCCGCATGCGGAGCCGCATGCGGCTCTGGAGCCGCCGACCCCTGTGCTAGCCTACTTTATTGTCCCCAGCAATTTTTAAACCCCACTCAAGTGTATGGTTATTGTCCCCAGCAATTCTGAAAACAAACTGACGCCCTTGGTGGTGGTGTATTTTCTCAGTATATGATCTTCAACCTGAATGGTTTTGTTGTGAAGGATTCACACATACACACTCCACTGATCAACACAGGAAACTAGTTCATGGCTTTTAAACTGATTAAATGTTTCTGTCGTTCATAGAAATAAGCTTGCTTGTGTTTTTCTTGTAGGTTTTTAGTTTTGCGTTACATGGAGGTCAGCCAGGGCTTCTCACTGCACGGAGAAGCTTCCAGTTAATTATCAGGACCTCGGGGTGTTTAGTCTGGTTTCCATCGGTGTTTGTTGATGGATAAAGGGCAGGCTGAGGAAGAACAGGAGATCCATTCATGACACAGAATATATTAAGTTGTTGCTCACTTGCTGATCCACTTATTGTTGTTGACACAGTCTAATTAGAGTCCCGTCAAAGTAAAAAGCTGTTGGAACAGGAAAAGTCATGTCCACAGTTAAAAGGACATCAGTCCTGGATTATATGCACATCTTTGAGGTTCCAAATTAGAATTTATTAACCCTCCCACTGTCCTCATGGGTGACCCTGCCAGGAAAGTTGACCAATGAGCAGGGTTGATGGTTTATCCCTTGTCGTCCACTTGACAGGGGTGAGGTGGTGCTCACTCCTCACCCCTGCCACGTGGACGTGCTGTAAAATGATGAAGTTAAAGCTGTTGTGGGTGAATCTTCTGTTGGTTCTTAGTGTTTATCTAGTGAATAAATCTCACTAGATATAAATTTAGACCTAAAAACTGTAAAATCTTTGAAGATCTGTTGACACATCTTATGCTGGCCATCTTGAATTGTAGATGAACATGAGAAAATGATGTCAGACATTAATGCTAAGCATCTGTTAGCTAATCAGCACCTCGCTGTTCGTCAGTTACTGTAAATCTGACAGAATTATGGTATGTGTGTGTTAGCTCAGGTGGGTTAGAGGTGGCCGCCATCTAGACTCCAAATAATAAGCTGTAAAAGGTGAGCTGGAATTTATTTCTGACAGTTTTATGAAAATAAACAAACAACCTTTTGGTTCCAGGTGATAAAAGTAAAAGAACATGACAGCATCTTTACTACAGCTCACGAATAACTGTTTTGGATTATTTTTCTCTATTATTCACTTACTTTTTGTGCTTTACTTGGTTGTTGGTGCTTTTCGCTTCTACATCTTTCAATACATTCAGCTCATTTTGACAGTTTTGCTTAGTTTCAGCTTCAGGTCAGCTGTTCAGCAGCTTCAGCTTACAGTTTCAGCTATCCAGCATTCAAACAGTATTTCTGCAAGAAATGCAAATTTTTCTAGTTTATACTGTTCTAATCATTTGTATTGTTAAATGTATTTTGTATTTTGAACATGGACCCCAGGAAGATTAGCAACCGCTGCTGTGGAAGTTAATGGGGATCCAAATAGCACAATAAACAATAAACAATCTAGCTCTAATGGGCTGGAGTCAGATTAAAGTTAAAGTGATTTTTGTTGTTTGATTTTAAACTTCCAATTAGATTTGTGCTATAAAGCATTCTAAATGTACACAATTTATAATTTAATGGTACATTGAAGTTATTGTCAATACAATTGTAGTTGTTTTTTATCATCCTGAATGTTAGCTTTTTAATAAACATTTATTTAATTTCTGAAATACTGAACATATTTTGCAGTAGTTGATTGCCATTACAGGACATTTGGGTTTGACTTTTATGGCAAAAGAAAGCAGAAATAAACTCATCAGGGGTCATTTTGACAGACAAATATAAAACAGACGTCCTCTCACTCATTGGTGCGTCTCTTTCCATTGATCGTACTGTTTCTGTGATCTGGATGATGCTGACTAGTGTTGGATGTTTGTGTTCTACGTGTTCTTTCAGGCTGCCGAGATGGTGGAGGATGAGGTGGACCCAGACTCCCAGAGCTGGGGGGGCATGAGAGGTGAGACTGAACATCAGCTTTTCATCTTATCTCATCTCATTTAAAAATAACAAGCATTGTTTTCCAATATTCAGTCATTCAGAAGGGCAGGTTGATGTGGGTTATTTTCCTAAAGTAAAACTATCTGGTTTTGGTTTGCATTTAGCACCCCCTAGAGTCCGTTATTAATTCACCATTAGTGAAACCCGTAGCATCACTGTGCGTTCGTCTGTTTTATTCTAACAGTTGAAACGTCTCCCCAGCCTTCATTAGTGTCTGCAGGAGTGATGCTTCAATAAGTCAAACAAATCTGCTGTGGTCATGATCTAAAACATGCAGGAAATGTGCTGGAAGCAGAATGCAGCGCTAACAAGTCAGCTAGCCACTTTACTGTTGACTAACAGGGACCGGTCCAGATACTCAGAAGTTGCAAGTGTGGTATTCTAGCCACAGAGGATGGAGGGGGCTGAGCAGTTCAATAACCCTGTAAAGGGTCTTTAGAGCACTTACTGGCTCAGTAAAATGATTTAAAAATATGAAAAAATTGCATAGTATGACATTGAAATAAATAACTAAAAGGCATTTTAAATATCAAATTTACATTTGGTCTGCTTAAATACTGAAAACAAACTACTTTAACAGAATTAGGTGTGAGCGTGTATTTCTTCATTAGTTATTCTGACTTTGCTCAGTAGTTAAAACGTGAATGCATGAAATCTTGTCTAGTCTAGTAACTTTTACAGCTGATCTGGCAAACACGACAATCGTTAACACAGCTTAGAGACACGTATTCCAGTGAGGTACTGGTTGAATATTTTCTACTCACTGAGCAGCCTCTGTTCAGAGAAATAGACTATTCTTCCTTCCTGCACTGATGAGCTAACAGCTGTTCAGAGATGACTCGAGGGCAAAGTCTATTTCTGATGTGCTAAAATGTTTCTAGAATGGACCGTTGTTAGTGTGAAGGTTACTTACATCCCACAGATTTTCCAGCTGTCCTATAAAGAACTTCCTGTTAGACCCTGGATTCACAGGAAGTGCTACATTGTGATGTTTATGCTTGTAAATAAAGCAGAATTCTGAGAAAATAATTGTGTCATGCGTCGATTATATTTATGTCAGTGAGTTCATGTGAAATTCATCACATCAGAGCTGATGGCAGCTCTCTGACTAAACGCGTCAGTGCTGAGTTTTCTAAACTCCGTTTCTCTAAACGACGGTTGCTCAGGAAGCCACTGACCTCAGGTCTGCACATCTTCATGGTGTCTTTAAAAAAACTGAAGGAAACTTTACGTCCTGACTCATCCTGAACCCCCAAAACAGAATTTTCACTTGTATGACTGGATGATGGCATTAGCTCAGTCTAAAGTTGAGTGTGTTGTATGTGATCGTGTGTGTGTGTGTGTGTGTATGTGATTGTGTGTGTGTGTGTGTGTGTGTGTGTGTGTGTGTGTGTGTGTGTGTGTGTGTGTGTGTGTGTGTGTGTGTGTGTGTGTGTGTGTGTGTGTGTGTGTGTGTGTGTGTGTGTGCGTGTGTGTGATACAGTGAGTGAGCTTTCAGAGCATCGCTACTCTGACTGTAGATTAGTTACAGCAGAAGTGATGTCATGTTTCCAGCTGCATAGTGTTTACAAGTGTGTGTGTGCGTGTGTTTGTGTGTGTGTGTGTGTGCGTGTGTGTGTGTGTGTGTGTGTGTGTGTGTGTGTGTGTGTGTGTGTGTGTGTGTGTGTGTGTGTGTTCAGAGCAATCATTCTTAATGCTTTTTGAAACTGTTAGATGAGATTCCTAAGGTGTAATTACAGTTATAATAACATATCTGTAATTCAAATTAAACTTAATTGTTTCACCAGATTAACTTTTTCTGTCTCTCTCTCTCCCACCCAGAGTACAAGGTAAGAGTTTCTATAAAAATAAACTTAAGCATCATTAGCAAACTTGGTTCCATTGGTTTAATGGTTACACCGACTGATAAATGTCCCACAATGCCCCTCCTTGTGCCAGGTCTACCCCTACGAAGTGTTGGCCGTGACCCATAGAGCGAAAGTGAAGCTTCCCAGAGACGTGGATCGCACCCGACTGGAGGTGAGCTCTGGTGTCCTGCTCTGTCTGTAGATCATTAACCTACGAAACCTTCAAACTGGGACTGGCAGGACGTTCTGGTGTGGGTCCAGTGGACTGGTGGCTAAAGCAGGTGAAAGAGGAGTGTCAGGCAAAGCTTCTCACTATTTTAAATATATCTATTTTAATATTTATTAGAGGTGGACATGGCTTCCAGAGCAGGCCTACAACCCATCGTGTGTCATTCAGGTCAACAAAGATGATTTCATAGGGTCATTCATTTTCTCTGTCGAAAACATGAACATTAATGTCCTTTAGACAGTGTTCCGCACCCTGGATGTGTAGATGGACCTCCGAGTCTAGACCTGAGCTTTTCTGTTGTGAAGGTTTCACACAGCAGCTCAGGACATGCTTGGTGGCCCGTGACACTAGAGCAGGGGTCCTCAACTAAATTTGTTGAAGGGCCTGAGTATCATTGTATTTTAATTTGTTAATATTTAAAATGGCTTTTTTTCCCATCTAAACTGTTTTTATTGTAGTTTCAAATGTTTGGAGAACCTAAACAATTATTGATGTTTAGGACATTAATTTTGCTGCTAAACTTCAAAGTCCCCCAGTTGGGGGACGTTAGGGCACAGAGGGTTGGCGCCGGGCCGCCAGAAGGTTTTATAGCCATATGTGCGAGAAACCACAACATTAGGAAATTGCTGCGGTACTTGGTGCAAGAAAAGATAAATGATAAGCAAAAGTTAGAATTAAATGGTAAATGGCCTGTATTTGATATAGCGCCTTCTAGAGTCCTGGAACCCCCCAAGGCGCTTTACAACACAATCAGTCATTCACCCATTCACACACACATTCACACACTGGTGGGGATGAGCTACGATGTAGCCACAGCTGCCCTGGGGTGCGCTGACAGAGGCGAGGCTACCGAGCACTGGCGCCACCGGTCCCTCCGACCACCACCACCAGCAGGCAACGTGGGTTAAGTATCTTGCCCAAGGACACAACGACAGCGACAGACTGAGCGAGGCTCGAACCTGCAACCTTCCGATTACGGGGCGAGCACTAAACTCCTGTGCCACCGTCGCCCCAATGAAACGATAATAATATAGGGAGGCAATAATTAGAGAAGCAGCTTCTTTATACAAGTCAGTTCTGGTCAGAGCGGGTCAGTTCAGGTGCAAACACAACACAGGGTCATGTGACTGGAACAAAGCAGCTGGAATGGAAAGTTCTACGATTTTCGCTCATGAGTCCGACTGCAGAGAGGAAGAAACTGTTCTTGTAGCGAAAGGTTCCGGTCCATATGGATCTGAGCCTCCTGCCGGACGGGAGTAAGTCAAAAAGATGGTGTCCAGGGTGAGTCAGGTCTGCTGTGATCCGACCTGCACGCCTCAGTGTCCTGGAGGTGTACAGGTGCTGTATGGAGGGGTGTTTGCAGCCAGTGACCTTCTCAGCAGAGCGTACGACACGCTGCAGCCTCTTCTTGTCCCTGATGGTAGCTCCAGCGCACCACACGGTGATTGAGGAGGTGAGGATCGACTCGATGACTGCGGTGTTGAACTGACTCATCAACTGTGCTGGCAGGTTGATTTTCTTCAGCTGTCTCAGGAAGTTCATCATCTGCTGGGCCTTTTTAATGACAGAGGTGATGATGGGCTCTCACTTGAGGTCCTGAGTGATGGCGGTGCCCAGGAAGTGACATGAGTCCACCATTGTGATGGGGGTGTCGAACAGGATTATGGGGGGAGAGGGACTGTGTGCCTCCTAAAGTCCACAACAGCCTCCACTGTCATCTGGGTGTTTAACACCAGGTTTTTGTGGCTGCACCAGGACACCAGCCGTTCCACCTTCTTTCTGTAGGCAGACTCACCCCTGTCAGAGCTGAGTACGATGACTGTGGTGTCGTCTGCAAACTTGATAAGCTTGACAGACTCAAGCTTATCAAGTTGGGAGGCCGGGTGAAAAGGTTTGACCTAGAGGGTTCGTGTCTGTTTTCTCTGTGTTCTTTGTTCCATGGGCGGCGGCTGTAATGAGACTGTCTCTGTCTGCCTTGTTTCACGTCCCCAGAGACATCTGTCTCCAGAGGAGTTCCACCAGGTTTTTGGCATGACTCTGGATCAGTTTGACCGCTTGGCTCTGTGGAAGAAGAACGACATGAAGAAGAAGGCTCGCCTTTTTTAGAACGTAAAACAGTCGCAGCAAACATCTCAACAGCAACCTGCAAGGAAGGAGAAAGTCTCAGCAACCCGTATGCACCAACGCCCTTCCTGTCCACCTGTGACGCTGCGTGGGGACATTTTCACACCACCAGGGCTCATCTCCAGCTTTTTGGACTGAATGTTTGCCCAGCAGCCTGACAGAGGAGGACGAGGAGCTGTGTTTGCATGGCCTGTGTTTATGCTCCTTGCCTCCCATAAGGCTTTGCATCTGCCCAACTCCTGCCCCGATGCTTCTGTAAACCCCGACTACAAAAAGTAAAAACTGCTTTTTCTCATTTTTGTGCAGGCTGTCAAACAGGTCTCGATGGACTTGTGTCTCTAGTTTGTCTTTTCTGAATGCTGAGTCATCATAGTGCTGCAGTCGCCTCTAGGTTCATCTTTTTGGTTTTGACACCTTTACTTTTGTGAACCTGCAGAATTTATCACCTGTTAAGCATGTAAAGGCCAAAGAGCAGGAAAACCAGTCCATCCTTCAGGAACCATCACAAACACCTCCTCATAAGCTACTGGTGTTCACAGAGCTTATCTAATTTTAATGCATAACAAAAATACTTTTAGTTAAATGTCTTAAAAAACCCTCATAATTAACACAAATAAGGAAAACAGCGTGTAGCAGAATGAGTTAGGGTCACTCAGTAAAAAATTTATATTTTTGTCTCTCAGCTTTAAGTCAGAACGTTTGGAAAATTTTAACAGTAGAATAAAGTCAAGATGTGACGACAGATGATTATTATTTACAGAAAAAGTTTCAGTCATGAAGAATATTACAAACCTTTCATTTTGACATCTTGACTTTATTCTTACCGTTCTTTTGGTTTTTGGGGGTAAATATTTGGACTTTTTTTCAACATCTAAACTTTTTTTCCCCTCGTCATCTTCACATAAACATCCAAAGGAAACAAATCAGAATTTTCTGTTAGTTTTATTCCCTCTGTGTGACCCTGTGTGTGTTTGGAACCAGCCAAGTTAGAAAAGACAAACGTCAGCTTTCAAATGAACTATTATGACTTTATTTTAGACATTTACAGTTTAGCCTGGAACAATCATTAAAACGTGAGGCCATCAGTGTTGACGTTTTATCAAAACTGGGAAACCAAACATTTATATTTAAGGAGAAGGCTCTAATATGCTGTTATAATGATTAGACAGAATGCTGGTTCACATGGTAGAGTGCAGATGTCAGAGCAACATGAACACATTTAAGGAAATAACTGATTTTGAGGCTTCTGAACCATCCTGAGATGGAGCAAATCTCCAGTTTGTTCCTATGAAACCTCATGTTGCTGCTTGACTAACCTGCAACAGCTGTAAAGGTTGGTTTATGCTTGACGCGTCCGCGAGGTCCGCACGGCTCCGCGCGGAAAAGTTGCGTCATTTTGCGTCATTTTAACAACCTCGCCCCTCCACCGCGTCTCCGCACGGCCCAAGATTTCCGCAACGCGCACCTCGGAAAATTTCTAACCACGCGGACGGACGGACGCGGAAAAACATGGCGGACCGGCAAGAACTAGTATGGCAGAGGTTCGTAAATACAGACATTTGTATGATTCAGCTCTCAGAGATCACCGTGATCAACATGTTGTTAATAATTCTTGGAGAGAAATAGCTCGCTCTGTCGGAAAAGACGAGGACGCTGTTAAAAATGCTAAAATGCCATGTTGTAAACAGTAATTTCTACTTCTACTATGGTGTAGTGTTGGGTGCATGCCGTAGAGCTCCATGCTGCCCCCTACAGTTTGGGAGAATATTGGCTCACCGCAGAGACGAGCCGCACGATCCATAAACGCTGCGAGTTGTGAAGCGCGCTTCATCCACGAGCCACATCACCGCGCGGAAAGTGAATGCGTCAAGCATAAACCAAGCTTTAGACGGCAGACATGTTGGTATCAGACACTCATGTCTTCACTGGGTTCAGCCATCCTTCACTTTCTCTGAAGGCTTTGCTGCGTACCGTCAAAGCTGCTCTGACTCCTGTCAGCTTTGCTTGATTTTCTGGACCATTAACTTACCAACATATACTGGCTGTATGGTAACATATACTGGGCATATACCAGCTCTACCTGTCTGTACTCACGCCATGGTGTATAACTCTCTAGGTTTGCATGAGGGTGGACATGAGGCTCCTCCATTAGAAATGTACGGAAACATCATCAACGTTTGAGTGGTTCCTTCTTTTATGATCAAATGAAATTGACTTTGCTTGTGTTATGTATTTATTTAACTGCTACCATAAGGAAGGGATTTCATTTAGAGTTTATTCTGGTGTGGTGTGAAAAGCTTAAGCATCACAGGAGGAGTGCAGATGAAGAGAAGCATATCACAGCCTGAGTTTATCCCGAGTGTCTGATCAAATGTAAGTAACATTGTTGTCATAATCTTTATGTACTCTTTCTAATATTCATCTGCTATTAAAGTGCATTATTCAAACTTATGTGTCCCATAAATGGAGGTTAAACCTGCTAAAACCAGATTCAGCTCAACAACCAGTAAGTTGCTTAGCTATGGCAGCCATCTTGAATCAAGATAAAAGTTAATGATCAATGAGTCAACATGTTAACGTGTCCATGCACCATTTCTCTGAGACAAGAAGTGAAAGCACAACACACAGACCATAAGAGCATTATTCATATTCAGCAAACATTCATTCAATTCAAGTTTATTTATAAAGCGCCAAATCACGACAAGGGTCGTCTCAAGGCACTTCACATAATAAACATTCTAATGCAGGTCGGTTCATTAAGCCAGTCAGTAACAAGTTTTCTATGTAAGGAACCCAGCAAATTGCATCAAGTCACTGACTAGTGTCAGTGACTTGATGCAATCCTCATATTAGGCAAGCATGTAGCGACAGTGGAGAGGAAACCTCCAGAGGATCCTGGCTCAGTATAAGCAGCCATCCACCAAGACTCACTGGAGATGGAGAAGACAGAGCAGACACACACACACACACACACACACACACACACACACACACACACACACACACACACACACACACACAGACAACATATATACCAAGTAGTGTTTCTATGGTTACATTGTGATTTCTTAGTAAATATTCTATTTGGTGAGATATAAACTTTATTGTATTTACTCTTGTGAATCTATAATTAAACGGGTAAACTAGTAGTAGCACATTCAATGTCAAAGAAAGTAAAATGTTATTATCAGAAGAGGGAGAATGTTTAAGTGGTTAGCAGCAGTGTTCAAGCCGATGCCCGGCGTCGGGAGAGGACGCGCAGGGACATGTGTCACCAGCAGTGTTGGGCAAGTTACTTCAAAACTGTAATGCATTATTTATTACTTGTTACCCTCATTTTAAAGTAATTCATTACATTACAATATTACTGATTTTAAAATGTAAGGCATTACACTACTTTTGCATTACTTTAAGTTACTTTCACCAATACAACTTCAATATGAATCTGGTAATCTGATACTCAGTGAGCTCATGACATAGATGTGGAAGGTGATGTGGTGTCTGAGCTAGGATTGCTGTTAAAAACAGTCAGATATAATAACAGTGCTTTAAAATGATTGTTTATTAAATAAAAGCAACAACAATCTGTACTCTCAGCATGCTGCCATCTTATATTAACTGAGCAGGGAGTGAGGTGGTGGGGGCTCCAAGCCTATATTTGCCTTGGTCCCCAAATGCCTTGATACGGCCCTGGATGTGGGACTGACTTCTGGGGTGATCTGATTCTATCACATGTATAAATATTGAATGCCTATATATTATTGCTTTTCACTGGTAAAAATGTGTATTGGGGAGAAATCTACCTACTTTTTTCTTTTTTTCTTGATTTTATTTGAATAATTTCCTGCCCTTTCTCTCTCTAACCTTCCTGCACGCTGCATGTTTTCTCCGTCTTCCAGAAAAAACTGTTTCCTAGACTTCCTACTTTCTAACGATCAGCCAAAGGGATCTTCACATGCGTGGCGCACCAGCAGGAATGAGTTGAAATCACCGCGGCACAGATTATGAACTCAGCTGAGGCAAAGCACGTCAGAAAAGCACAAAATACCAGAGAATATGCGCTGATGTGAACGATCGCAAGTGAATTATTTTGTTTTAGTGGAGCGATTTTGTGAATGTTGCAGCGGCCGCGCGCAGGACGCAGCTGAGCCGTTGCCACGGCGTCCTCTCTGCCCGCAAAGCTGAGTCCATAAATGACGTAATATATGCAGATACTGGATCTTTCTTCGGGTTTCCCGCAATTTGAATTTTTAAGAAACGCATCTTGATTCTGGGTTTAAAATGCATTGTAATTACCGCGTTACTGACAATTGTACCGAGTAAATATTACCATTTTCTTTCCCTGTAATGCCTTACATTACCACATTACAGCAAAAAGCAATGTATTACAGTAATTAATTACTTTTGTACCGCATTACTCCCAACTCTGGTCAGTATCCGACGCCCGCGGTGGCACGGACATTATTCCTCGAACCTCTAGCGATTTAACCTTCCCCTCACCCCCATCCTAACCATAACTCAGTAATTTCTAATTAAGCTTTGCATGGGCAAGCTGGTAAAGGTTAGAATGGGGGTGAGGGGAAGGTTATGTAGTTCACAAGTCGGTCAAATGTCCGTCTCACCGCAGGCGTCGGATACCAACGCTCTGGCACAGCGCGTCCTCTCCCGACACGCTGGGGCACCCTAGTCGTCATATTTTGACGCTTTGGGTGTGAGAATGTGTTGCCCATTTAGATATTATAGGAACCACCAGTAAACCTGCAGTCTGAGAGCGAAGTGCTCGTTTAGGAACATATGGAACAATCAGATCACTGATTTATGATGGAGCTTGATTATTAAGAGCTTTATATGTGAGAAGGAGGATCTTAAAATCTATTCTGAATTTAACAGGTAGCCAATGTAGGGAAGCTAAGACAGGAGAGATATGATCTCTCTTTTTAATTCTCATCAGAACTCTAGCTGCAGCATTTTGGACAAGCTGAAGACTTTTAACTACATTCTGTGGACTTCCTGGCAGTAATGAATTAAAGTAATCCAGTCTTGATGTAATAAATGCATGAACTAGTTTTTCAGCATCACTCCTGGAAAGGATGCATCTAATCTTAGCAATATTCAAAAGGTAGAAGAAGGAAATCCTACAAACCTTTTCAACGTGGGATTTGAATGACATGTCCTGGTCAAAGATAACACCAAGGTTCCTTACTTTGTTCTTGGAAACAAATTTAATGCCGTTCAGGTCAGGTGATTTCAGCAATTTCCTTTTCTGAAGTTCGGGTCCAAAGATGAGAACTTCAGTCTTGTCTTGATTTATAAAGCAGAAAGTTTAGAGTCATCCAATTTTTAATGTCCTCAAGACAAGCCTGAAATCTACCTATCCGATGGTTTATCAGGGTTAATGGATAAATATAACTGAGTATCGTCAGCATAACAGTGGACGTTTATCCCATGCTGTCTGTGAGCTGAGGGGAAGAGGTGTGCTGGTAAAACACATTTAAAAACAGTAGATAAACAACACAGAGAAGAAATTTTCAGTCTGTTTGTTTGCTTGTGTTCAACCAGAACTGCATGATAACACATTGGCTCTAACAATCGATGTCTCAAGAGAACAAAAAGCATGTGGGATGTGTTAGCATGCAATTTAGCTAACTCTGATGTAAAACAATCATACAGAAACACTTTAGCGTTGCCCCAAAGCAATATTCAGAGTCAAGGGTTTTTTCGTCGAAAGCCTTTTAAAGCCAAAATGGCTGTGCAGAATCAGAAAATATTCATAAAACACATAGAAGGAGAGATAAAAATAATAAAAACAAAAATTCTAACTTAAAAGCTAAGAAGCAAAAAGTAAGTTTTTAACTGAGATTTTAGGGTTAGGGTTAGCCACAGAAGGAGCCTGTCTGATGACAAAGGCTCCAATTCCTCTGTGCATCATCCTGGACCACAGGAACACCAGTAAGCAGCCACAGGCTGACCTTCATGTTCTTCAAACAGCAGCAGATCCAGCATGTATCAGGAACCCTGTCCATGGAGCACCTGATATTCAGTCAAATGAGCGCTCGTTAAATCCTGTTGTAGCTGCTGGAAGCTTCCAGATTAGCCTCAGGAGAAAGAAAAGTAAAATAGAGACGTCAATGTTCTGAGTATCATCATCTTCATCCTCATTATCCTCCTCCTCCTCCTCCTCATCATCATTATAATCACCATCATCCACATCCTCCTACTTATCATCATCGTCTTCTTTTGAAAATTATAAACGTGCTACCACTCCTTCTCTGAGGAAATTTGTGGTTTTGTGTACAGAAAAAATGCAGCGAACCTCCTGATCTGCTGCAAAAGGGGAATGCAGCCTTCCAAAATGTAGAACGGCTTTTAACAGATCAGCTTTTTCAGTGGTTGCTATGGATCAATGGAATACAATGCCATCAGAGATTTTAAAATGTACTACTTTTAAATAATTTACATGTTTATCTAAAAAAGGCTCTTAGAAAAACAGAAGTTTTGAACTCTGAGGTGTGTGTTGGTATTATGTGTCTAATTTTTATTAGGTGTTTTATATTATGGTGTTTGTAAATAAAATGGACATTTGCTTTAGTTTAGTGATTTTAACATCAACCTGCCCAGGGGCTACAGGTGGAATGGTCCAATGCATCTTTCTCTTATGGTTAATGTAGAATTGTGCACTGTCCCTGTTTAAATAAACTTTCACAATAAAATACAGTCATCATTCTCCTACTCTTCCTCCTCCTCCTCCTCCTCCTCCTCATCATCATCATCGTCATTATTCTCCTCCTCCTCCTCCTCATTATCATCATCATCATCATCTTCCTCCTCCTCCTCATCATCCTCATCCTTATCATCATCATCGTCGTCATCATCATCCTCATCATCATCGTCATCGGCTGAAATATTAGCATTATCTACAGTATATTTGTTGACCTTTTAGGAGTTTTTATTTTAGTTCTTCTTCTGAATAATCAGTCATCTTACTTTGCAAGTGAAACAAAACTTAGCTGGACTGTTTTTGACAAAAGAAAAATACATGATGATGTATTTATTTCAGGCAGGGTTTCAACAGAGCGTCAGCTTTTACTATCAACCTGGAACGATTTGTGACAATAATTTCTCAACATTCCTGAAATTCATCCACCACAACAACAAAAAAACCGTCTTTGATCAAATCATGGTTTAGGATGCTGAACCCACAAGCCTCGCCCCCCGGGCTGTGATTGGTCAGTGGTGCTGTCAGTCATCACTAACACGCGCACCCACCCTTCATTGCCACTGACCGGACCGAGAGGGAATCTTTATTTCTAAGGTGGAAAAGGAGGACAAACGACAAAGGTAAGGTGTACTCTGTCTGAGTCACGTGGTTCTGGTGGATTTTCATTAACATATGTGTCGGTCTGAGATGTTCTGCTGGGTTCCGGTTAGGAGAGAAAAACCCGAGCTG